CTTCGCAGCAGATTTAACCAATTATGCTGCTCGTAATTCAGAAAAAGAGCTGTTGGTAATTCCTTTTCACTTTCAGGCCCAAGCTGCTCGCAGCAGTTTAAAATAAAGACTGATGTCATTCTCCACACTTGCACTGAATCCAGATGTTAGCAGGAGGGTATGTTTTCTCTACATTTTGTTTGAAACGCAGGGTATTCTGTATTAGAAGCACTCACAACAGCTAAAAGGCAAAGACAATAAATTACAGCTTCGTATAACTCCAAATCATCCCGTGTCATGGGAACAGTAATTTGTTTAGCTTTGGCTGGCATGCAGCTCCCACCGGTCTGCACCCACAATTTAATGCGTGCCATCAATTCCTAACATTGTGGATTTGTTTGCATGAGTGAAAATGGCCCAATGTGGACCGAGTTACAGCCCACTGTGACTTGAGATTAGACGTGATGAGGGATGTCTATTTTGTGCGGTGACTCTTATTTTTGAATAATGAGCGCATAATCAGAAACACTCTGGAGGCTGAAGGGGAAAAATTGGGAGCTGATTTCTACACAACAGATTAAAAGTAGGATTAGAGTGTAAAAGTGGCCACAAATGAAGGTGGTTCATACTGAGGACTCCACACATTTTCCAGCCGCACCGCAGTCGATTTAGGGGAGAACTGCTCGGGGATTTTCTCTCTTCTTTGTGGTTGGGCCTCACAGCATCTTGTTAAATTTGTGACTCCAGCTTTAATTGATGAGAGAGAAATTTTGGTTGGAGGGATTTTCAAGTAGTCGTGGTCGCTCCATCCAAACTCTGTGACTCTTTTAGGGATATGGGATTAAGAACTTTTACAATCGGATTTTACTACATTGTCTTTCAGCTTCCACTGCTGCTTCAGCAGCTCCAGGCTGCTTATTGGGCCTTGATTGGAAAACTTGAACAATCAAAGTTTATGGTGAAGCTTGCACTTGGTTGATGAGGCTCAAACTGAGACACTGCTGCCAAATGGATGGAAAGCCTGCACACGAAAAATACAACAATTCTTCTGGAAATACTTTTGGAGGAGCAGTGGCTCTTATTTGGCTGCGTCTGTGTGGAAGCAGCGAATGCTTTGAGTTTAGTTGTTAAAGCTGCAGCCTGTTCCACGGGGCAATACCCACTTAGCCTTCAAACAGAGTGTTAACGCGCTCAGCACCTGGGCTTCATGCATGGCTCGCTTTAATTTGTCAAAGGCCCCATTCAGGATTCTGTGAGAGTGAATTACAGCTCCACAGTTTGGCCTGTGAAAACATCACACGTTGGTTCCTGCTTTTCCTCTGCGGTGTTACCATCGATTCATTTAATGCTCTGCTGTCGCTAATGTGCAGGTCGGTCAGAATCTGTCAACTATTTAGGACGCATGGGGAAACACCAGAGCATATTCACACACACACACACACACACACACACACACACACACACACACACACACACACACCCTGACACGCAGTGTAGCTTTTCCAAAAATGAAATAAAATCAATTTCCTGGCCGGCTGAGTGTACGTCTCTTTGATGCGACATGTCATATGCATCCTCTCTGACTCAGTCCTTCCAATGGTTGTGCGTGTTGGTGGTTTTTTTCCCAGAATAGCCGCACCACAGCCCGTCTGGTGACATACAGAGCGGCACGCAAAGCCAGACATCACGAACGGTCATTCTGTGAACACAAAGACAGACACACATCACCAAACTGTAACACACTTCCACGTGTAGGATGTCAACGGATGATGCTTTGTTCCACCTTTAACAGACAGTCAGAAATCTTTTCAAATGTTCAGACGCCTTTCAATCAACTCATGTTAACAAGAATAGTTTTATTTGTATAAAACCTTTTAAAACACCATCACAAAGTGCTTCACACACACAACAAAATACACAGATTCAGACACAAACAGATGCAAATACACACATGCAACTTACAACACACAACCCAGATAAACAAAGCTGAAGGCACACAGGGAGTGTTTATAAGAACGTATATAAATGAGTTTCAGCAGCCATTTAAAACAAACCACAGGATCAGCAGATCTGATTAAATGGGGAAAGCACAGTCACCTCTGGACTTAAAGTGGGAACGAGAGGCTATATGTAGAATATTTAGCTCTAGAATAACAGTCAGGAATCCAGACATGGAGCACAGTTCAGGTAATAATGCAGATTTTAAATGACTGAAAAGAGCTGAGTGAAGGCGAGGAAGGAGGGCTGCATGTAATATAAAACCATGTTAAACCTTTTTCTGCCAATACGTGGCTTCGTTAACATCATAGATATTGTTTCGTCGAGACTTAAAACATGCTGATTAACTTCCAGATGCAGAGATTTAAATGATAAAACAGCATCATTGGTGTCATAGCTGTGTTTACTCGGCATGTAATCTGGATTTAATCCTCGTACATCCAGGTGCCTTATTAACAAAAACCTCCAGTGATTCTGTGTTTTACTAGAAGCCAGTAAGAGAAGCTGAGAGCTGCGATGATGTGGGGTCTGTGATTAGTTTCTGTCAACAGTCTGCCTAAAGATGAGCATGAGAGAAGGAAGGAGGAGTCACAGCAGCTTATCAGGAACAGACTCCAGCATGTAGAAGTTCCAGGTTTTGGATGTTGTCACCGTATGTTTTTGAGAGTAAAAAAGAAGAGCATTCAAGAAACGTTTTCAAAATGTTTTCCAGATGACAGACTTTTCTCTAATGTGACATCTTCACGTTTTGCCTCTGAGGTGATTCTTCCATAAAATATTCATGATAACAAAGGAAGGACGTTGTCAATGCAACATTCAGCTAACGCTTTTAGCTTTTTATAAGAACATTCTGAGAACCACAAAAAAACGTTGCCAGAACTTCCTCAGAAAGCTTTTAGGATAAAAAGACTGCAGACCTCCTGAGTAAATCAGTGTCAGGACATTTTATAATCAAAAACAAAGGTGTGTGTGTGTGTGTGTGTAGGAACCATTTAGAACATGACACATGTTCAGACCTGTGCTGGTGTCAGAGTTGTTTTCCGTGTGAACCGGACAGATTTGAGCCAATCACCTGCAGCTGACGGCTCTCAGCAGCAACACGTCTGCTGTAAAGCGTCACAAACAGAATGTTGCAGTAGATCTAAGACAAGCCGCGGTGATCTCGTTCTCTCTGTGCCGTTTCATGCACCTCACATGCAGCCGGTGTTTCAGTTTTCCTGCATTAGATGCCTACTGAGGAAGTGTGCAAAGGTTTGAGGCACTTTGTATGTACAGTTGATGTGTTAAGGGCTCTGCAGAGCCCTGATCTCGGCATCATGGAGTCAGTTTAGGATTACACCAAGAGGCAGAAGACGCTCCCAAATGCTTGGAGCGACCTACCTGCCAAGTGCTTCTAAGTTTGTGTAACCGAATCGCTCAGCTTTGAAGGTTGAGGATGATCTGCAGTTTGCATGAAGCCGTCTCACTTTGCTCCTCCTGCAGCCATGCTAGCATCTCTGGGAAAACGCATCTTGTTAACACGAGGTTCCTTCTCAAAGCTCTGCCGTCCGGCTCGGTTACCTCCTGGCTGGATTTCATGTCACGAGTGACATCACTGTTATTGTGCGTTCGATCGGTGTAATCCCCTTTCCCTTGAAAGCGTCAAATTTACCTTCTCAGGCTCTTAGCTCGGTGACAATGTGCCGGTTAGCGCGGTGAACGCTAAACCAGAGCTGAGCTGGAGCTTTGAAGCCATTGTTAGAGCCTGTGAGGGTGTAATACCTCCAGTCACATGGGGACAATGAACAGTGTGATTCATATCTCATAAAGGACGACACCTGTGAGCACACGCCAGATTGTGCGCCGCTTCAACCCTGCGAGGGGGAGAAACAGGCCGCGGCAGCATTTCCCAGCTCCCACATCTAATTGAATCTGTCATAGCTGTTCTAATGATGGACACGTATAACCCCAGAGTCCCCTGAGGGCCGGCGCTCGGCACTGCGAGTCTCAGAGATAACGTAGCCTGCAGGTGTGGGAAGATGATGTACGTAGACTCAGGTTACAGCAGACTGGCCTGGGACAGGTTGATGGAGGCTCCCTGATTGATCCTGAAAACAGAGAAGCCTGTGGGAGGATTGAAACTGAACCTGGAACATAAGTTAAACAGTCCAAGAACAATGTGGTTCTGGTGAAGGTGCACAGCCTGCAGGTCAGAATCACACTGGAGGAACACAGAATGCTCCAGTTTGCTGCTGTGGGAGCTCATTCATGTGCATCAGACTGTTGAAGACGAACCAGATTTTTAAAAAAAAACTCCATCTAAACTTTTATCCAAATGCTAGTTTGCAGCAGAAGTGTGGCGTCTGAGCGTGACCCCGTCAAACTTTCAGAGGAAAACACATCTCAGCTAAGCCAACAAGCAGCGAAGTATGTTCCAGCTTTAAGCTCGACCACAGGTAGCCGGAGCCAAACCGTGCCTCGTTCCACTCGCCCTCACTAATACCACTGTTTTCTCAACTTGAACTCATCTGAGGAGAAGTTTTAAGCTTCTGAAGGACGCGCCACATAAATGCAGTCGGTGTTGTTCAGCTGTAGGGAATTTCCTCAGAAGGACACAAAACAGTCATTCCTCTGGTGTGAACAGCTCAGATGATGCTGTTATCGTCATATTATCATTTAGATGTGATATGTTTACTGCACTAACTCAACATTATCATTATAGTGGCTGGAACAGGGGAGTTGTCCATAAGGTTGTATTTTATCAGAAACATCAGTGAATTATTGTCTGTGATGCATTTCATGTTTAGTGTTTTTAAAGCCAGTTTGATGGTCCGATATGTGATTATTGTCTTTTATAAAATATTATCTGACCAGACTAAGCTATAGTTAAGTGTTTCCATTTCAGACCATTTTAAACAAAATGTTGACTCTTTGCATATTTAACTCGGTGGTTTGTTCACAGAAGAAATGTGACGTAATCAGTGCATTAAAAACAACAAGTTAATACAGACATGAATCACGTGACAGGAGCGCCTCATGATAGGTGCTTTTAATGCATCCAACTTTAATTTTAATTGTCAGTCATTTTGCTTCTTAAGTTATCAACTAATTTTCTCCTCTATATTAAAAAACTGTGAAAAATGTGTATTTCAGTTTCCCCAAAAACCAGAATGACATCTTTGGGTGTCCTGCTCACAGCCATGCTCGTTTTATTGTCACCAAAAAACAGTAAAAAAAAAAACAAAAAAACAAAAAAACAGCAGATGTGCTTCATTAACATCCCTGTTAATGCTGGACCCTGATGGAGAGCGTGTTCATGACATGTTGCTGCAGCTCTTCCTCCTCCACTGGTGAGCAGGAGCACGTGTGAAGGTTCCTCATCCCTGGTCCAGGTGTTGCGTTCACTGATGAGGTTAACCTTCATGTTCTGGTTTCCAAGGCTGCAGAGATCCAGGAGACACCAGCTGCCGGTGGCACAGCACCGCCACCTGCTGATCCACGGACCTTCTCCACGAGTGTTCGGCTCCGTTCTGGTTCCACTGGCAGCCTCTGTCACTCGTGTCTGTCCACTCTGAAGCTCATGGTAACGACGTCCTCGATGCCCGCCTGCAGCTCGTCGTGCTCCTGCACCGCGGACACTCCCTTGGGGGTCCCGGTCAGGATGAGGTCCCCCTCCTCCAGGCTGATGAAGTCGCTGATGTAGCTGATGAGGTAGGGGATGGAGAAGATCATCTGGGAGGTGCAGCCGCTCTGCCGCAGCTGGTCGTTCACCTTGAGCCACAGCCGGACGTTGGCCGGGTCCGGGATGCGCTCCTTGGGGATGAACTCGCTGACGGGGCAGGAGGTGTTGAAGGCTTTGGCCAGCGTCCAGGGCAGACCTTTGGACTTGCACTCGTCCTGGACGTCCCGGGCGGTCATGTCCAGGCACAGAGCGTAGCCCGCGACGTGCTCCATGGCGGCGGCCTGGGGGATGGCGGTGCCCCCCTTGCCGATGACCACCCCCAGCTCCACCTCATGGTGCAGGTTGCCGGAGTACAGCGGCACCAGGATGGGGGAGCCCTCTCTGACGTACGCAGAAGGGGGCTTCAGGAACAACACGGGCTCTGTGGGGATCGCGTTCTTCAGCTCTTTGGCGTGGTCCGCATAGTTCCTCCCCACGCAGATGATCTTCCTGCCCCACTCCCAGAAGTGAGAGATGTTCCGCGCTGCCATCGTGGAGACGTGTGTGCGGTTCGTGCCGCTCCGGAGCAGTCAGCACCAGTTTAAGTTAACTTTGACCGACACCGATGACCGCTCCTTAAACTGATCATTAACCTACGGCGAGCCTGACGGGACATGCGCTAAACCGAAAAGCAATTAAACACTATTACTTTTGCTTATTTATTATACACACATTACTTTATCATGACTTCACAGCAGAATAAATCAACTAGCAAACATCCTGCGACATCACGGTGGCATCGTGGTTCATAAATATGGAACCAGTTCCGATTTTTTTATCGATCGACTCCCCCAGATGCGATTGGTGCTGCCTGGCAGGGTAAAGTTGAAAAGGAGGAGGAGGCGGAAGTGAACCAAAAGCAAACTTTTCTGGTTCATCCATATGTGATAAGAAATAGCTACTGTTATGTTATTCAAGTCACTCGTAGGGAGTGCCTGCACTCTGGTAGGAGCTGCCACCGTCTTAAAATTCGGTACGTCCGCTCGGGTTTCTCCTTCAGCACGCGCACACCGAGCATGTTAGCTAGCTGCGTGGATGTTGGTTGACTGCTGCTATGTTGATGTTTGTCGTGTGGAGGTGAGGGCAGCCAGAGGAGCACAGCTGGCCTGTCTGGGAACACACACCAGCCCTCTGACTCAGTCTGCTCGCTGACAGTCGATCTGGGTTCTCGCTTTGGGAGCTTGGCTAAAAAAACATAAAGCATTTTGAATAAGTAGCATTTAAGCTAACGTTGTTTACGTTTGTGTTGTGTTAGCTCACAGGTCGAGTGTGTTTATGTGTCTGCTGGAAGTCATGTCTGTGTGGCAGGAAATGTATTTTAACCTTCAAATGAGTGTATTTCAGATGAATAAAACTGGTCCAGCTGTCTGTCAGATGTTGACCTGTGTGCTCTCTCGTGCAGCCCCAGCTGAAGCCAAGGCCCAGGCCGCCGCTCTGCTCCACGGCGCCGTCAGGAAGTCTTATCTGGTGGAACAAACCAACATGAGGGTCGAGCTTCTCCCAGCGCTCAGCGACAACTACATGTACCTGCTGATCGACACAGAGTCCAGAGAGGCAGCGATAGTGGACCCCGTGGAGCCCATCAAGGTGTGTGCACCTGTCACATTCTGCTTTAAGGTGCCCTCCACTTCTACAGCAACCATTAAACAAACAGCGTAAAGCAGTGATCATTAACTCACCCCGACTGGTGGCAGCAATAAAAGGCTTCCTACAAGTAGACACATCAAACAATAACCCAGCAGTAATCAGTCATTCAGTAACCAGCATTGCACAAGTTGCTGTTGATGTTTTAAATGCGTTTTGCTGATAATGTGTCATAACTGAAGATTATCACTGCACAACTGTCATTAATGAAACTTTAGCCTTAAGCTGTTTTGTCAGTAGCGTAAGGTAGCAGTGCTTTTAAAGCAGAAGCAAAAAATGCATCCTATAATATTATATACTTGCATTAAATGATATTTTCTGTAATCTTAAGTTCAGGGTTTTTATTTAATGTTTATTTATGAGATCAGTTTGATTTAAGTTGTGGCTGAAAGGTGTCGAGTAGCGTTAATACTACTAATACCAGTATGGCAGGTTTTATATTGTCAGTTTTATTTTCAGACGTTTACTTCAGTTACACTAAAGATTCACGACAGTTCAGTGTCATTAATAATCACTGTACGTAAATGAACATATTTCAAATATTAAATGTGTGCTTACAACAAATCAATGCCAAAGTACATTTTCTAACAAAGTTATTGTTGTATATAAATGTTGGCTTGTGTAAACTTGAAGGAGCTGTAGAAGAACAGTTTAGGCTGAAGGAAAAAGAAAATAAGAATGAAATCAAACCTTTGTGATTTAAAAACAAATAAATAAACAAGATTTTTGAAGAACTATTGGAACAATTAATGATTAAATACAGCGATGTGAAAAGATGTAGCAGACACACACTCAGACATGAAATAACAGGAAACTGATCTTTGTTTTTGATCCATGTTGTGCATGAGATGGGGTTTGCATGGCTTCTGCATTAAAGGGTTCATCCAACGGGAGGTCTTCAGCCTAAAATGTAAAAAAACAAAGAAAAAAACTGTAGAACCTTTATATGAGAAGCTGGACCAACTCGGCTTTGCTTGCTTGAAAAATAACTTAAATGACAACCTAATTATCGCTGATTTTCTTTGATCAGCTCGTCTGTTTTAGGACAACTTCACTTACACCATTTTCTGCCTCCAACAGGTTGTGGAAGCCGTCAGGAAACATGGCGTGAAACTCACCACTGTCCTGACCACCCATCACCACTGGTACGCTGCACGTTCTGTCTGTCAAACATATACGCTCGCTACCAAAGACACACTCACAGCAGCATGTTGGTAAAACACGCTAACAAGCGTCTACACCTGCACCAAACGACTCCTCTGCCGAACCTCGGGGCGGTGACGTTCCTGATTGTTTTCTGTTTCAGGGATCACGCCAGCGGAAACGAGAAGATGGTGAAGATAATGCCGGGACTGAAGGTGTACGGCGGAGACGACCGAGTCGATGCCATTACGAAGAAAGTTTCTCATTCCAACACGTTCAAAGTGAGATCGGTGAACTGCCAATCCAAATACAAGCCTCCAATCACAGACGTTTGCTCACTGGTGTTTTGTTTTTTGTTTTTTTTTCTCAGCTTGGATCACTGAATGTGAAATGCCTGTTTACGCCGTGTCACACCACCGGTCACATCTGCTACTACGTGACCAAAGAAAACAGCACCGAGCCGCCGGCTGTTTTTACAGGTATGTCCAATCAGATCAGATAAATACTGAATAATACCAGAGGCGCTGTAGTCTCTGACTGAAACACGTGACAGAAGACTCGAAGGCCCTGAGGACTCTGTTTCTGCTCCATGCAGGAGACACTCTGTTTGTGGCTGGTTGTGGTAAATTCTTCGAGGGCACAGCAGAGCAGATGTACAAAGCCTTGATAGACATTCTGGGACGCCTGCCTCCTGAAACAGTAAATATACATGTTCTGTCTGTGTGTTGGTTTGAAAGTGAATTATTTGAAGTCATAATTTAACACTTGAAGCAATCAGTAGAATGCTTCATTTTGATCCGAAGTAAAGATGAGAATCTAAAGCTCGGTTTTAGATTATAAAATGAAATTCTCATCAGTCAGTGTGAAATACTCTCAGTTTTGTTGCTGAAGTTGCGTGGCTGACTAACCGCGGCGTGTTTGTGTTTCAGCGGGTGTACTGCGGCCACGAGTACACCGTCAGCAACCTGAAGTTTGCCCGTCATGTGGAGCCAGACAATGAAGTCATTAAGAAGAAGCTAGCGTGGGCAAAGGTATTCGTTTAACGTGTCGCGTCCTTCAGTCGGGTGATCAACCAGTAAACCATTTCAAACACAAACAACCTCCATGAATCTGTGTTTTCGTAGGAGAAGTGCAGCATCGGAGAACCAACTATTCCGTCCACTTTGGCAGATGAGTTCACGTTTAACCCCTTTATGAGAGTGAAGTATGTGCAGCTCGGTAGTTGTTTAGATTGTGGTTTGCTCACAGTTACAGTCAAAGTAATGCCTGACTTGCTGTTGATTTTTCATTTAGAGAGAAGTCCGTGCAAGACCACGTGAAGCAGACGGACCCCATCGAAACCATGAGAAGTCTCCGGAAAGAAAAAGATGGCTTCCGAGTGCCCAAGGAGTGAAGTCCTGAACGCTCGTGTGGAGAGTTTGAACTGCTCACAACACTGCAGCCTGACAATGATATGCTGAAGAATATAATTAACTGCAACTCATCTCCCAGGCCATTTGGAATAGATCTGCTCCATGCACTCTGAGTGAAGGTTCATCCTTTAGCTTCAGCCGTAACAAGGCTATAAACCGTCTGTCATTCTGTTCGTTGTGTTTGTTTGACTGATGTGACAGTTTTAAGGAATATATGGCCATTAATTGAATGCTTTAAAATGACACGTTCAGTTTGTTAATCCGTAAATGTTTTAGAGAGTTTTAGAGTCTATTTAGTACCATGTTGTAATATATTGATGTACAGACTTCTGTTTCATTCAGTGTTTGAATCTGAAACGAGACAGGCAGCCGATCAGGGAGCAGAGGTCGGCTTTGTGTTCCACCTCTGGGAGCTGATCAAGCAACAGGTAGAAACTTCTTGGTCTGTAAAAAATTGTATCAATGTTTTATTCTGACCTAGAATGTCTCCTCATGCCGTTTATTTTCATATCTGCTGAAAGGCGCTTAGTCTAGAACTTTATATGTCAGACTGCTTTTTATTTCTTCTTGTATTTAAAAGCATTCGGCGAGCGCAGCGTTGTCCACTTACTGTTGTCTGCAGTTAATGCTAAATACCCTGAAGGCTCCTTTTGCCTGTAAAGTACAATCTCACAAAGAACACTGCATGAATTTCTCTGCAAAAAGCAATAAAACGCATTTGTTGGAAGCAAAAGTCTGCGAATAAACTGAATCAAACACGTTGAAAATCATGAAAAGTGTCATTTTATAACATGTAATATGTTATTTGATTATCACAGAAGTATTAAGATGTGGTGTTTTTTCAGGTGCTTAGAAACATCAACAAACTAAATGTATTATTCATGGAATTGTTTAAAAAAGTACAGCAGAAATGTAGACGTAAAGCATCTCAAGGTCGTATTAACTCCATCACTTCTGGTAATGAGCGACCAGAGCGTCGCCATTGAAGCAATTTATAAATAAAACGAACTTTGAATAGTTAATATTTGTAACCACATCTTGTATTTGGTGCACAAAACACGGAGCAGAATCTAACAAACAGGTTGTTCATTCAAACAAAACTTTAATAATAATATTAGAATCATATAACATGTATTTATTGTGCATCAGCAGAACACCCAGAACTCAATTGTAAAGTCACTCCTGCTTTTTCTTCTTTGATTTTTGAACAACAGCTGTGAATACAAATAGTTGTTCAGCAGAGGAGTGAGGCGGCGTTAGGGTTTCACCAAACAAGTTTAAATACTGAGGTTTAGCCGACGAAATAATCTGAATATAAATTATATGCCCTTTATGAATGTGATATTTAATGTTGAAATTGAAAAGTAATAGTTGTATGTAAAACATTTGTGATTAATAAGACTGCAGATTAGGCTTCAGGTTTGGTAAATACAAATACACCATCATATATAAATAAATGTTAAGGTTCAAACCGTACAGCAATGTTTCAAACATGCCTTACATATATATCATTTTAACATTTAATCATCAAGAACATATTACTGATATGAAGTAAACCCACTGGACCAAACCATGACTTTGTCTTGATAATAATAATAAAAAAAAAAAAAAGAATGAAAAACTACAAGTTGACGGAGTTGAATGTGTCGGGCTCGATTAAAAGGCCTGGGCTCCGACACTCGATGATGTCGCGATAACTTCCTGGTCTGGATGCAGAAATGTGGAATAATAATTTTGAGACAGTCGGACGGGAATAAACGGCCGCAGTTACAGTGAGGTACAGCTGCATTTTATTTTATTTTTGTTTTATCAATCTGCTTCTATTGTCTGTTGACGTTAAAGCTGCAGGAAGTGTTCACGACTCTGAGCTAGCGGCTGGAGCGTGCTTTTATTTTGCTAACTGTTGATGCTTAACGCGGTAGCAGCAGAGTGAGAACTGCTGCTGGCTGCAGATGACGGATGCATAATTGTCGGTGCAGACACACAGCAACGTTGACTAATTAAACTTCTTCCTCAAGTGTGGTGCGCATGCGTGTGTGGGTGCCATGAAGGTAAAGGTGATCTCCATCCTGGAAGACAACTACATGTACCTGGTGATCGAGGAGCAGAGCAAACTGGCCATAGCTGTGGATCCTGCAGTTCCTCACCGAGTGAGACTCAGTTTTGTGATGCCAATTTTAAATTAATGCTTTAAAAGACTCCAGTGGATTAAACCAAAGAGGATTGTTCTGGTGAGATTAAAGGGGAAAAAAATCACACATTAAAAAGTCAAACAGCAAAAAAAAAAAAAAAACAGTGACAAAGCGCATCCTGTAGGACAAACAGGTAAACCAACAGCTGGTAGGTGTTTCCACTGATAGTCAATATAGAAGAATCAGGTCTGCAAAGATGAGTGTTGTCCTCATCTTTAACTTGCCCTGGATTAGAATAGAAGAATAGAATAGAACTTTATTGATTCCTTTGGTGGAAACCTCAGGGGAATATCACGATTCTGGTCAATTATATGTCAGAATAGAAAAAATACCCATTGCAATTTTCTAAAGCCAAAAAAATGTCATGTTTTGACCGAAGTTTACCATCATCAGAAAAAGAACAGTAGCCAGTGTTCACAGTTTAGAGCTGCTTTAGAGCTTCAGTAGTTTTTACTTCACTCATCAGTTTGTTGGTACGTTAAGAGTCAAAACAGGTCAGTCAGTGTTTCCCAAAGTCCAAGACGACGTCCTCCAATATCTACCCAAAGATATTCCGTTTACTCTCACAGAGGAGTAAAGAAACCTGAAAGTATTCACATTTAAGAAGCTGTAGTCCAAGAATTTTGACTTTTTATTTAAAAAAAAAAACAACAACAAAAAACCCCTAAAACTGAATCAATTAGCAGAGTAGCTGGTGATTCATGTAAGAGTTGACAGTTAATTGATGTAATTGTTGCATGTTTGGTGTTTTTGATTAAAAAGGATCTGTGTGTTTTTGACAGCTGCTAGAAATAGTGAAGAGAGAAGGTTTGTCTCTGACTGCTGTCCTCACGACGCACCATCACTGGTAGGAGCAGTGTTTGGTGTTAAACATGTGCCACTAACATGTAACGAAGTCGCTGCTGATTGGATAATTGATCACTCATAGGGACCATGCTCGGGGGAATGAGGCGCTGCTGAAGGAGCTCCCAGGTCTGAAGGTGTTCGGTGGAGATGATCGGATTGGAGGTCTGACGGATAAAGTCACCAACGCTCAGGAGCTGAAGGTGCCCACGAAGTAACGGGACTAAAACGTGTTCAGTCAAAGCGCTGCCTGGTGTTGCTGCTTTTCTTGTTCTGTTGTTGCCGTATCGTCTTTTGATATTGTCTTTTCTCCTCTTGCAGTTTAGCTCCATCAATGTGAGGTGCCTGTTTACTCCGTGCCATACCTCTGGTCACATGTGCTACTTTGTTTGGGAGGATGAGTGCACTGACGCGCCCGCTGTGTTCACAGGTCTTTGTCTGTAAACCTAAAGAGCTGCTGAACCAGTTGAAATCCAAGACACAGGCTTCTCTCTTATTCCTGCACAGCACACTGCAAACATGCACAACCTCACCTGGCATCGATGCACAATATTCTGAATAACTTATTTTTCGAGTGGCTAGAGATATGAAACCGTGTTGGATTGCAAACTAGTTGCTGTGATGTGTGGCTGCAGGGCTGAACGCTGCTTCCTTTCACACCTCCTTGTCCTTTCCTTTGGTTGTCAGGGGACACGCTGTTCATCGGTGGATGCGGACGGTTTCTAGAGGGAACAGCAGAGCAGATGTACCACAACCTGACCCAGGTGCTCGGCTCCTTACCGCAGGACACGGTGGGTGTGAGTCAGATGTTTGCTGTGATTGTGTGCAGGCCTCACAGGGTTAACGGCAGCTAACATGACCTCAGATAGGACTGAGTCACAGCCACAATGACGGGATTGAGTGCAGCCCGGCTCTCTTCTCTCGACGTTTTAAGAATGGCACAAAGCCCAGAGTGACCAAGACACTGAAGCTGTGATGTGATCTAATCCTCACGTTAAATGAGGCTTTGTTCGTCTGTAGAAGGTGTTCTGTGGACACGAGTACACCATCAAGAACCTGAAGTTCGCCGTGCTGGTGGAGCCAGAGAATGAAAAGGTTAAAGAGATGCTGAGCTGGGCCAGGGTGAGCAACAAACCCCAAACTTCTGGTTTTGTTTTCATCAACAAAAGACCAAAATCTAAACGGCACAGTTAGTCTGCACTGTGAAGCGTTCCTGTTTTTAACAACGGTGTCCTGAATAGAAGTAAATTCTGGGTTTAATTCTACCAATAAATTAATACACATGTGGGCTTTTTCTGGAATCATGAGAGCCTTTGTGGGATTCAGCCAAAACACAGTAATGTGGGGATAATGAAGGCTAATAATTTGACTTTTTGTTGTGTTTTTAATCGTTAGAGGGGAAAATAAGCTGTTTTCAGGCTTGGACTACATAACAGGGACAATTCACTGTTGATTTTGGTCTTTTCATGGAAGTTGTTGACAACAAATGGACATTCTTATTCCTGTTATGTTTTAGATAAAATAAGGATCTCCTCCAGGTTCCTTCAGTCTCTGTTGTGTCTGCAGGCAAGAGATGATGACGACAAACCCACGGTGCCATCCACCCTGATGGAGGAGTTTGAATACAACCCTTTTCTTCGCCTCTCGTGAGTTTAGACATTTATATACAATATGTGTGAAACCTGACAGGGTGGGAGAGGTGAAACTGACTTTAAAGTCAATAAATGACCTCGCTCTAAACTAGTCTTTGTTTTTGTTCCAGAAACAGGAGCTCAGGGTCAGAGTTCAATTCAATTCAGTTTTATTTGTATAGCGCATATTTACAACAACAAGTCATCTCATAGCGCTTCACAGAGGCAGAAACAGAAACACCCAACAATCCAAAACATCTGGATTCCCTATAAGCTTCAGCAGTCCACAAGCAGTCCGCAACAGTGGGAAGGAACCGAAAACCCCCACAGGGGAAAAAAAACCTCCGACAGAACCAGGCTCAGGGAGGGACGGCCATCTGCCTCGACCGGTTGGGTGAGAGTGGGATGAATTATACAATTTAGTGTACAGTTAAACAAGTTATTAGAATTTATTGTCCTTTTGTAACAGGAGGTTTTTCTGCCTCATGACGGACCGACAGCTCTTGACACCACGTATGGAAATCTGATGAACAGATATTAAATACAAATTAGACACCTGGAATCAACCCCAGACATTAATTTGTCTGATTTGTCATGAAACAGGGGCTGCAGGTGTCTCGGTGGTTAGCACGGTGGCCTCACAGCTAGAAGGTCGCCGGTTGGCGTCCCGGTGAGGACACCCGGGATCTTCCTGCGTGGAGTCTCCATGTTCTCCCCGTGCAGCGTGGGTTCTCTCCGGGTTCTCCGGCTTCCTCCCACAGTCCAGAAACATGCTGAGGTTAATTGGTGATTGTAAATTGTCCGTAGGTGTGAATGTGAGTGTGCTTGGTTGTCTGTCTCTAAGTGTAGCCCTGTGATAGACTGGTTACCTGTCCAGGTGAACCTGCCTTCACCCTGAGTCAGCTGGGATAGGCTCCGCCCCCCATAACCCTGGTGAGGACTAAGGTGTAGAGATGATGGGTGGATGTCATGAAACAAGGAGGAAACAGGTCACACTTGATGTTTAATTACTTCTGAAATTGTGAAAATGGGGGAATCATGTAAAAACTGGCTGTTATTACTTTATACAGTTGATGCAACATTTTCGTTAAACGCCTTAAATGAAAGCTGGAAGTCCAGACTTTGATCACATCTTGATTGCTCCATTGTAAACCTGCTGTGGTGCCATACAGAGGCTAAGGAAACTGTGCAAAGCTGACTGCATAGCGCACATAAAGTACATTCACACTCCTAATAATGAAGAACTGTGTGTGCAGGTGCCATAGAAATGTAAATTATTCTGCTTGTCAGGTTGGTGAAACGGGCAGATGTGGTGAGCTTGTACGTCCACATAAATCCCCACTTTCTAAAATCAGGACATTTCCTGGCACAGCTTGTGTTTTCCCACTTGTTATCGTTTCTCTCTTCATGTCTTTATTCCAGGGAGGAAAGTGTGCAGAAGTTCACAGGGAAGACGGACCCGATCGAGGTGCTGAGGGTCCTGCGGAAGGAGAAGGACAAATTTAAGAAGCCCAAGGAGAGACTTCCTCCTCACGCCATGCTGGCTCTGGAGTGGGGGCTGCTCCGACCCTGAGGTCCTGCTTCTAATCACGGGACAGCTAGAAGGAGGAACTGGAGGTAAATAACCGAATGCAGCAAGACACCAGACTGTAGATAGCGGTGTTTGCTGCTTTAACTCTTTAACTTTGACCCATTTAAACTGCTGGGCGCCTGGTTGGTTGTGTTCTCGTTGTTATAAAACCACGTCTGCACAAAAAGGCCAGTTTATCGCTGCTTCCATTAAATGTTCCTACAAGGTCATTAAAGGCCTCCCAGTCTCTTATGCACAAACTAATTGCACCAAGTAAAATCTACTGATACTCATTTCCAGTAAAACTGATGGGAGTGTATGTATTTATTAAACTACTAGTTTTGGGAAAACTTAACAATTTCTTTCTGATTTATTTGTATTATTCTGTTTTATTTCCTTTCTAGATGTATATTTGTCTTATAGCCTTGGTAGTGCTCTCTTATTTAACCTTTTGACTAATTTCTGTATATTTATATATTTACTGGTTGCTGTTTTTTTCTTACTTTTAAAACTTTGGATCTAATTTACCATTAAGTCCAATTGAAGTGAGTTCAGATTGCACCTTGTATTCTCAGACAGGTATTCAATATGTTAACTGTACCACAACAGAAGGAAAAAAACATGCAGTGTACATTACTCTGAATGTAAATTGCTGCTTTTCATTCCAAAGTTTACATCCACATCGTACAAGAGCCTAAAACTGTACACCAGAGTCAAGATGATTCAATAAAACATATCAGTCTGAATCTGTTCTCTGGACATTACCTTCATGTTTGAACAAGAACCAACAAAGTTACCATTAAATAATGTTTATTTTTCAAAATATATGCACAAATAATCATTAAATTCAACAAGGAATGATTACATATTACTTCTGCTCATATTTTTCAGTGAGTAACAGGTGCCACACATAAATGAATTAATTACTGTGTGTTTGAAATGACAAACAGCAGCCAAAGAGCAAATGATCGCCTCATACACATCATTTGGCTTTGCTCAGTCTTGTTTCTGTCACCTGGTTTGTCACCACATCCAGGCAAGCAGCTTTTAGACGAGGAACAAAGTGGTTTAAAGTCATATTGGCAGATATTAGGCCTCATATTCGACTTTCCCCAGATAACTGTCGTCTCTGAAGGGACACAAAAATGGTCACGTGTGTTTGGACGGCTCAGTAGTCAGCGTCTGCTTGAAGAAAAGTGTGCAAAATAGAATTCTTCAGTTAGCCGAAGAGAAACCTTGATCACCACTTCATGGTGAGCCCGTTGGTCATCTTTTCCACGGTGTGGTATTGTGTGTGCAGCAGCTCTTTGGCTCTTTCCTCCCCGACACTGTGGAGCCACGACTGGTACAACTCGGCCACATGAGTGTCATCTTGGGGCAGCTGGGAGTGCTCTGCCCTGTAGAGCTCCTCCACCTTCTGGAGAAGCTCCTTTGGGTTCTGACCAGCTGAGGGCTTCACCTGCCCGCCACCATTCAGACAGCCTGAGTGTTAACAGGAGATAGAAGGAAAGGTTTGGAGTGTGGGTCTTTGATTTTCACATGGAGGAATGATTTTGACATCTTTACCTGATGGACAGGCCATAACTTCCACGAAGTGGTAAGGCGACTTTCCCCTCTTCAGTTTCTGCACCAGGTTCTGAATGTTGCGGAAGCCGTATGTTGAAGCAAAGCACAGTACGACAGCTCCATCTTTCTCGAGACTCACCTCCTGGAAGTCTTTGTTCCTGTGGCAAAGGATGTAAAGTAGGAAAAGATAACTGCACAACTGCAAATAATATTTTTTTCTAAAAAAACTCTGGCCTTTAAATCAGTTCAGACCTCCTCACCTGAGCGTCTTGTAGGTGAGCTCCTTCACCTCCTCACCAAACAGCTGCTTGGCTGCGTAAGTAAAGACGTGATGGAGGTAACCCCCAGAGCCACTCCCAGAATGCCTCAGGAACTCCTCCCCACACACACTGCTGAATCTAAGTGAGGAATAATATATAGCGTGTCAGTTACCTATTCTACTAAAACTTTCTAATTATTTTAGGTGAAGAATTGACCCAACAAAAAAGCTAATGGTACAGAACGTACAATGTGTCTGGAGCTGCAGGCTCAAAGTCATTGAGAGACACCTTTTCCTCCTCTAGCATTCTCTGAACCTCTCCTGTAACAGACAAGAAGGATCATAAGAGAGGATACTGCTTCTACATATGTGCAAACGGCATCATAAAGGTAGTTCGTGTACCAGAAGTGATGACACAATCCACTTCTCGGGTCTCTGCTTTGTCCAAGTAGAAGTCAGACCGCGAGGCCTCGAGTTTCTTGTCGAAGCAAGGCATGACGGCCACGTGGTAGATCTGTTGTGGACTCAGCCCCTAAAAATACACAGAACACTCAAATCAACAGTAACTCACTTTTTTTTTTGATAACCCCACATCCAGTTGGCCGTCAACACGATTACAAACTGTACCTGCTGTTGGGCAAAGTAGTCTTTAACCAGAGAACCCATCATCTGCTGGGGGGAGCGAGTGCTGCTAATATATGGAAGAATGTACTCCCCGTGTGTCTTCTCTGCATAACAGATCCAACCTGAACAAAACAGACACACGGTGGTTAATCTGGGTCTCACTGACGCTCTCTGAACAAGCTCAAGAAACCTTTCATTAAATATTTCAATTCACCATCAACATGAAGAAGATTTCTTCTTTAACACAACTACATTAAAATGTAGGTAATGTTGACAACAGGATGAAATGTCACAGAGGAGGACTGAAATGTCCAAACAAAAACTTATTCACTAAGTGGTCAAAGAATGTCTCTTTCTTACATTGTACACGTTTGTAAGGATGAAACATGTTTGCCTAAATTAAACAGTGAAGTGCTGGACAGGAAATGAGGGAAGACAAATGAGGACATTGAGGACACTCACTCACATGATATATTTCACTTAGTGCTCATTTTTTGGTAGAATACCTGGACAGGCAGATGTTAGCATTGGCAGGGACTTGCTGTCCTGCTCCTTCCTCTGGAAACGCTCCACGAACTCTCTCTGACTCTCCAGCAGACTGAAGGTCCGACTGAAGCCGGTGTCAAACACGTGATGAACCCCTGCAACACCAATAACAGGAATAATCCTCCGACTATGTGCCTAAATCAACCTGTGTTACTGTTTTATGGCACACGTGCACTTACCGAGGCCTTTGAAGAAAGAAGTGAGCCTCCTGCCTGCCTCTGTGCTGCTGAGCTCATACTGAGCTGCGAGCGAGGCTCTGGACTGGGGCGACACTGACACCACCACAACCTTCTGCTCTGCCTCATTGGCCTGTGAGATGTGAATACGACGACGCATGTTACAAACGCTGCAAAACCCAGTTATAACCAGCAGTACTTTAGCTTTCGGACACACGTCTACCTTGTTGTTACGCAGCACTTTGAAGAGCTCCTCGTGGCTCTGCTGCGTGATCAGGACGCTCTCAGCTGACGTGATGCAGCCGCTGCAGGCCAAACAGTCATTTAGTGTGATCTTTGCTTTCTCCAGCTTCTGCTTCCCACCATCCTACAAATACAGATAATTCCAGGTAATTGGCAGTGCAGTACTTCAACTTTAATAATTCACATACAGGATGGGACTAGTACTGACCTGGCTGACTTGGACGTAACTGCCATCGTCTTCTATCTGTATTTTGGCCACAGATTTACCTTGTTTCTTCTCTACTTTGACAGGTTTGACACATTCCTACAAAAGAGAGAGACTACATATGTAACCAGACTATAAAACACTAGTGATCCCTTTCAAACTAACTTTGTGAAAAAGGTAAAGGAAATTTAAAACATCCAAAAGCACCTGAGAAACGTGACAAGGGGCAACAGAGGAGAGAATGAGTAAGGAAGAAAAAGTGAATCAGTAAAATACAAAGAAAGAATTAAAAAATACAAAAGTGGGCAACACAAGCTGTTTGACCAAAAACTGCTGTTTCATCGTGATTACATCATGTCTATTATTAGCAGCAGGCTAACGGCGCAGCACGCGCTCCATGTCTCAAAGTGAACATATTTACCACCTTGACACCACCAGTTAGTTATTAAACATTGCAGTGTGAATATTTTTTTTCTCCGCAAGGATTCAGTGTTTAGGTTAGTTCTTGTTTTTTTACTCTCTCAGTGAGAACAGCAGCGACAAGAGCGGTTAAACACATGCTAGCGGCTATTCAACGTTTTCCATTAATAAGCTGCTTTTATATATAAAACGAACTATTGGCGTTAACGATGATTATCCGTAAATGTGTTGTTATCCCCCGTTGCAACAGTTTTATTAACCGACCTGAGAGGGGGTGATGAAGTCGTCGAGATCTGTCAACTGCAGCACACCGCTGAAGTGCGACGCCATGTTTGCTGCCGTAAAGTGTTTGTTGTTTACACTGGTGTCGTGAATAGTTTGACTCAGCTCCAACAGGAACAAAACTCACACTCACCTAAAATAAATGAAAAGGAACCCGGCAAGTGTAAATATAACTTCATCTCTGAAAAATAAATACACCAAACATATCCACAGACTTATGCAGCTTTACTTCTCTGCACTGCAAATTGCTGCCAGAAAGAAATGCAGAGTATGAAGTTAATTTCACATGTTTATCAGTGCAAGTGATCACGCAGGACAACTTACATTACATTTTTGAACTGTTGAATATGCAAAGTTGCTGTTTCAACTAGTCTGCAGTTCACTAAACATATAAATAGTTAAACATCTAAGTGGTGTATAGATAATGGATGGATGGATGGATGGACATTTAATGGTTATTTGAGGACAAAATTGCACTGAAGGCCCCAAATCCTCGATAAAGCTATGTCTGACATTTCTTGTGAAACCTTTGTCCTGCTTTGTGATGCCACTTTATCAACTTTAAATGCCTCTATGTCGAAAATTACTGTACTAAGGTGCATACGAAGCAGGGACGAGGAGTGGTTCCCTCAGTAGATAAATCTGTTTACAAGTGATTTCCACAAAAGTAGATACCAGAATCCCTTTTAGTGCCAGGTAAGTTATCAAATATATGACATTTGACTTACTGTTTTGGTGCATGACAGTAAACACTGACAAAAAATTACAAGAAGGAAAAATAGAGTAAAGAAAAGCAAGCGCAGCAAAGCTATGAGAGATATTTACAATGTTGTCTAAGTAAGCTGGTAGTGAGGAAGCCTCATTTACAGGAATAGTAAACTAATGGGCCACAATCACAGCTTAAAGTCAGAATGTAAGGACTGTCAAATAAAACTTTGTCAGAGCAGAAGAAATGGGGTAACTTTAAGAGCATACACATTTGTTTATATGTGAGGGCTGTAAAACGTTCCTTCACATGCACTGACTGTCATGATCCTGAATAGTGTTGATCACCTAATCTGTCCCACTTCCACGAGAACAATCCAGTTATGCTTAAAACAAAAACTGAGTGAAATCTAACATCGTGAGTTCTTTGGAACATGTGTAATAATTAAGAAAAGCATTTCTTTATACTGTAGTGCCCATCTTATTTACAGTGTGATTATTACTGTCCAATAGCAGGAATTCATTCGTAACAATAATCTGATGTATCAGTAACTGGGAGCAATCCATGTTTTATAACAGTTTTAAAATGATGATATATTTTTGGGATGTTATGACAGATTTATGTCCACAATGACATCAACATATTTTTCCGTGTGTTCTCCTGAGCAGAGACACACGCACGCGCCCTTTTGTTGTTATGACTACGGGGTCGTAAATCCGCCATGTTTTCCCTCCCGGTTGCAGCGTTGCGACAGAGACGGAGAATTCAAACGACATGAATGTAGAAAATAATCATACGGCAGAAACAGAGAGGGAGCAAACGACGAACGGCAACGAGACTATCACCATTCAGACTACTCTGGGAGACGAAGGTCAGTCCTGTTAGCGGCCAAATCTAACCAGAAATGTTTGTCGGTTTCTGCGTTTGGGCCTAAGCTAACTTCCTCCATCGTGAAATGTTGCTAGCAGCTAGCTGCCGTTAGCAACACCAGCTAGTTTGCGTCTTCGCTGCAGCTTTACTGTCGGATTAGAAGTCCGGCGGTGTTTTGAAAAGTTTAGCCCGGCCGGGTGGTGGCTGACGGCAGTAAATAAGCTAGCTAACGCCTACATTGTTTGTCTTTGTGCTTTTTAGATGAAGATGTGCACAAGTGTGGACGATGTCAGTCCGAGTTTTCCACCCTGGAAGCTTTCATTCAGCACAAGCTGCACCGCAACTGCAAACGTGTGGAGGCGAGCAGCCAGGAAGAGGTAGGAACCGGGATGTGTAGGTTTACACCCAGCAGCAGGTCTGGACAGCAGGTTTACACGGTGGGAATAAATCTTGACATTATGTCCAGGTTACTGCGGCCAATGGAAATTCTTCTACAGACGTGAGAACAGCTGAAGATGCGTCTTCGGACGAGCCAGTGAAGACCAGTCATGGTGAGGCAGCTGCATTAATGTGCCTGTAATGTTCTGGATGACATGCTTCTACTGCACCTACTGCACCTGGTGTAACTTGTAAAGTCAAACTGAACTTCATTGTCAATTTATCTACATGTGCAATTCATGAAATGTTGAAATGTCATTTGTCAGATTCCCACAGTGTAGAAAAGGAAAAAAAAATACACACATAAGAAGGAAATAAAAGGATACCAAAGAAGATGCCCATCATGCCAACTTTTAGTTTAATCATTCTAGTAATCAGTCCAAAACCTAAGATATGCAGTTTAATATTACACAGATAAGTCATTTTTAATAGACATCCTTTTCTATAGACATAAAGGCATTTAAAGTTGATAAAGTGGCATCACAAAGCAGGACAAAGGCTGCAAAACAAAAAAAAAGAAAGGCAGACATAGCTTTATATAGAATTTGGGGCCTTCAGTGCAGTTTTGTTCTCAAATAAACATTAGACAATTTATTTATTTAGTGAGCTGAAGACTAGTTCAAAGAAAAGCTTAACAACACTACACTTGAGAAGCTGAGATGAGCAAATGTTCAGTGTTTTGCTTGAAAACTGTCACTAGTAAGTCAGTATTTCCACCTTTGTAAACATCACTCCAATCTGTGAATTAGATTTCAGATCTGTACCTGGATTTAGTCATTTCATTGTGTATGTTTTTTTTGACACAGATGAAAGCACCGGTCCGTTGGGTCGAGGTCGCCGGAAGAAAATCGCTTCACATAAAGCCACTGACCAGTCAGACGGGACTGAAGGATCCATGTCTGACAATGCTGACAGTGACAAGCCTGTTTACAAAGTCAACCAAGAGGGACGCTACATTTGCCAGCTTTGTGAAAAGACATTTAAAACCGTGAGTCATGCACTTAATTTGTTGTTTAATTGGAAAATGTAAGCAAGATAGGTCCTCCAGTAATTTTAAATTTTTTTTCCGCTCAGCAGACCAACATCTTGAGAACTCACATGAAAACTCACAGTGACCAGAAGAACTTCTCGTGTGACCTGTGTGGGACCTCCTTTCGTACTAAAGGTTCCCTCATTCGTCACAACCGTCGTCACACCGGTACGGAGAATGATCTGAAGCCACGGAGCTCTGTTGATCTGCATCCCTTTGATGCCCTCTCATTATAAATTCAAATGTTTTTCTCTTGCAGATGAGCGACCGTACCGGTGTACTCTGTGTGGCCAGTCCTTTAGAGAGTCTGGTGCTCTCACCAGACATCTTAAAGCTCTCACACCCTGCACGGAAAAGATCCGCTTTGTTCAGTACAAAGAAATCCTGGTCAGCAAGGATGGAGTGCAGAAAGGTCAGATTTATATTGGAAAAAATGTGCAGTAGCTGTTCGTGTGTGTCTGTGATTAAGAAGGCAACTTAAAAAATTAACAGTCTGTCAGCAAATGAACTGTAGCTATTGAAAGAATCCGTCCACCTGCTTTATACTCACTAATTAAGCCTTATGTTCGTTTAATTTTCAATCTTCACATTCAGGTGTCGAAGATGATCAAGCTGCGGTGGCTGGTCAGCAGGAGGTGGTGGTTGTGGAGCAGCAGTCAGAGGAGCAGGAGATGGTGGAGGCTCAGACTGCTGTGGTCAGCGTGGTGGAGGCTGGTTCCCAGGAGGTCCTCCATCAGGTCCACTTCACAATGGAGGTGGATGGAACAACACAGGAGCAGCAGGTTAGGAGCATGTTTTAAGTCCTGTGTGGACTGTTACCATCAAAACACTCACATAGTACGTGTATTATTATTATTATTGTTATTATTATTATTATTATTTATTGTTTTGTTTAGTTTTTTGCAAAAAAAATGTGGAACAAGTTGAATGACGGAGATTTTGGTAGAAGATAGTTTTACCTGTAATACTCACCCAACATGCTCTGTTGACCTCCACCTCTGGCCAGGTGGTGGTGGAACAGTCTCAGGCAGAAGCTCTGGCTGCTGCTGCAGCTGCAGGTGACAATCTGATCTGCCAGGCCATCATCAACTCGGGCATCACACTAGGGACAGAAGAAACAGTGGTCGAGGAGACTTCACAGACAGCTGAGGAGATCAACAAAGTGGTTTCTGAGCGTCCGGATGCTGAGGAGAGTGTCATTGAGATCCAGGTTAAAGAGGAGTTTGTAGAAATGGAAGAGGTATGTTAAAGTTTGTGTGAGTGGAGTGAATTGTAATCCACTGCTGCGTCCTTTATTCAGCTGTGGGTTTTCAAGTAACCTTTAACTTTCCTTCCTTCCTTCCTTCCTTCCTTCCTTCCTTCTGTTAGGAAACAGGTGATAGCGATGATCGGACATCATCAAAACTGCACACGTGTCCACACTGTAACCGCTCCTTCAAAGGCTTGAATTATTTCCGTTTTCATGTCAAAGGCCATTTAGGTAAGTCCACATTCAGTCCTGATGATAGCGTCACCGTACACCTCCGCCTGTAAAGTCAAGGGCTTATAAGACAGACTTCATAACTTGCTGTGTGATTAGGTAGTCCACTAACTCTGGTTTGTGAGTTAATTACTTGTCTTTACAAAAAAAAAAAACTTACAAAAGAGGAACAAAACTTACAATAGTATGATTAAACTCAAAAAAGGTTACAAACACCATCTAATATAAAAGAAAGCTGTTGGCAATGACACACACACACACACACACACACACACGTGTTTAACTAGTGAAAAACTCTTGGTGCAGTCTGAATATGCTGCTGTACAACAACATAAGAAATGTGTTGATCTCAGTCAATTTAGGATTTCAGGAACTGTGTAGATGTTTTGTTAGGCCACAGGTTATTATTTCATTTTCCCCGTTTGTGCTTTTCCTCTTCCTGCAGGTTATAAGCCCTTTAAATGCACATTATGTCAAAAAGAGTTTCTAACTGGCTACCTGCTGAAGAAACACATGGAGGTCCACGTCAGCGAGAGGCGCTACAAGTGTGGCGAGTGTGGAAAGCTGTACAAAACCATCGGACACGTCCGCGAACACATGAGGGCCCACTCAGATGAAAGACCCTACCACTGCAGCAGGTGCAACAAAGGATACAAGACCAAGGTGTGTTATTTACCACCAATAATTGACATTGTTAGTCTTTGTGTTGGACCAGTTTTTCCAGAGATATAAGAAGCTTTTCTCTTTGTCTCGCTCAGAACGCCTTGCAAGTGCACCAGCGGACTCATGGTGACGAGAAACCCTACGTGTGTCAGTTTTGCTTGAGAGGCTTCAGAGAAAAAGGCTCCCTGGTGAGACATATCCGTCACCACACTGGAGAGAAGCCTTTCAAGTGCCCCAAGTGCGGTCGGGGATTTGCTGAGCACGGGACCCTCAACCGGCATATGCGTGCTAAAGGTCGGGGTGAAAAAAATTTAGTGAAAGCAAGTGTATGTAGCAGTGATTTCAACAGGCCTGATAACACAAACCGATTTCCACCAGGAGGCTGCCACAAGGACGATTCCAGCGAGCAGCAGGATGCCGTGTCGGAGGAGCAGGCGTCTGTGGACAGCCTCGCTACAGCCGCCATCATTTCAGAGGATCCTCACGCTGTCTTGGTGGAGTTTTCCTCAGTGGTGGCGGACACACAGGAGTACATCATTAAGGTGAGCATCACAGGGGTTCATAGGAACGGTGACCTTTACTTTACATCACAGTTATTTTAAAGTCAAAATAACGCTGACAAAGCCGCTGCTGTTTCTGGGTTCAAACTCTGCTCCTGTCTACAGCCAATCAGTGAACTCGCAGCAGGTTTTCTACTTCAGCAGTCAATAGCAGGGTGCAGGTTTCATCAGTGACTGAAGTTTCACTCTTCACAAAATGATTACATCGGTGGGGAATTGATTGGCTTGATTATCACAAACACACACTTTGCTTGTCCAAGTGCAGAGCGGAGGCTGCTAGAGTTCAGAACCTTTTAACAGAGGAGCATCTGTTGTTGACGTTTCCTTTGTTCACAGATACTAAGTGTAGCTGCAGCAGTGGGCATTCTGACTCAAACAGCGTTTTTGTGTTAAACATTAGTTACTTTAAGAGTCACAAACATTTTTTTATACATTTTCCTTGTTTTTGTGTGTGTTTATGTCCAGTCTGTTATATGTATTTAAATAGAGAAGTACCGTTATATATTGTATAATAACAACAAAACTGATGTTGATTGGGACTGATGGACACCAATAAGAACTATTATAGAGGAATTCATTTGCACGCTCCAGACATGGTTTTGTAGGTAAAGGGAGCAAAGAGATCAGTAACTAAACGTGCAGAAAATAGGGGTTTTGGGACACTATTTTGTGAAAGCTACCTGTACTTATTGTTGCTAATTTATGATATAAGTTCACTCCAGTGAGGTGTGGTGAGGTTCGTGGCTGGTGAGGCGCTGACTTCATCAGAATCTGATTTACAAATTGTATGCTCTCTACACAGCAGCATGTTTGCCATTTGATTGGCAGCAGTTTACGGGTTATGTTTCATATCTGCATTCTTTACAAACTGTAGCCCACAAAACACATGTTTCTTCTTCTTCTTTTTTTAAGTTATTGCGGTCTGACCTTTACCTTTAAATGAAGTCCATGCTGCGCACCTTCTGGACTAAACATCCGTTACTTTTTTGTAAAAGTCTCCTGATCTTCCTTCGCTGTACTTGACCTGCTAACTGTATACCGTACCCAGTCTAGCTCGCTGTCACTGACTCTGCGGAGTCATAAGAAGCATGTCTGGGATCAGAGCGCCCCCTGCCATGAGGCCAGAGAACTGCCTGCCTCACCTGGAGCCTCTTCTCAGCCGTTTATGATCGCTCAGCACACGGAACACATTACACACATACAGCTGGTAACAAAAACACTGAACATTATTATATATATCAGCTGAACTATGGAGCATCAGTTCACATATTAAATGTGTTTGAACCGTTTTATTGACGACATGCAGACAGCAGCACGCTGTCACTGCAGGCATCCAGTGTAGGTAGTGAGGGATTGCGCAATCCAAGTGAGGCTCAGCTCGCCGCTGCCTCACCGACTTCTCTTCCAAGCATTTGAATGGGAAGCTGCAAAAATTCAGGGATATTGAATTTTAAAATCACCAAAATTTAATAGGCTAAATGAAAAAAATAAATACTTTATCGTACAAATCAGTGGATAAATATAACCATTTAAATGATTTTATCATCATATATTGTTTTCTTTCCGTGATGTCAGGTGAGACTCTGCCTCACCTGCCTCCCCTGACCGCACGTTACTGGTTCACTCATACCAGAGAAATTCAGTTGAAAAACTTATATTTTAATCAATGATGTGTTCAAACATTTGTTTGCCTGTGAGTTCCTGATGGGGACGGAAAAGCATACAAATATCGGCACTACCTCCAAACCCTCTGGATTCATGTAAACAGGTGAATCTAGAAGCTGCCTCGGTGCTTCTGAGCAACACCTGCAATCATATCTTGGTCTTGTTAATGTCTGTGAGCCCACAGAATGAAAACCGCTGACCAGGAGTAGTGTTTATGAAAGAATGCCTCAAAGTTGTCTTTTATAAAACAGAAAACATTAAAGACAAATCACCCAAAAGAAGTCTTGACTGTGTGTAGATGTGAGCCATGGCTTCAGGAAACAATGGGCAGAAGATTATTGATCCTACACCAGGACTCATGGAGTCCAAAGACACGACTAGAACTGATGCGTGTGGTATCTTCTGGTCACTTCTTCTGACTGCTGTATGTAGCTGATGTGCAATATGTGTTTTAGCAATTAAAATTTTGACTTCCAGCGGCTTCCTGATGACGTAGAACTGTCGTTTTTATACTGACAAAAAATAGTTTGGTTTGGATAATCTAGTCCTTCCCACGGGTTTTACACAAAATTCACAACAAAGGTATTCATTTGCTTTTCTTCCCTCATATCCTCCAGACTCAAACAGAGGAGGAAATGCAGGAAGGAGAAGTTACACTCATTCAAGACAGCCAGAATGAGGTCAGTACACATGTATATTATCTGTGTAGTAGTTGCAGAATGTAAGAAAATCACCAAACAGTTTCTAATTGTTGGGCTTCATCATTTGATATAATTACCACTTGTGAGTCATTTTATTTGCCGTAACGTATGTATATGAAACGTCTTCCTCCCAGATGGGAAACCACATCATGAAAGTTGTGCAGCGAATTGTCAGCCAGTCGCACGGCGCCGGCGGTTCGGGCAGCCACCAGATCATTGTGCGAAACGTGGCGGTGGACGAGGACGGACCGTCCATCTCCGACTGCGGCGACACCATCACCATTGCCACGCCCGAGAGCCTGACGGAGCAGGTGGCCATGACGCTGGCCTCCGCCATCAGCGACGGCACGCTGCTGGCCACGGCGGGTACCGTGGAGACAGAGGAGGGAACGGTTACCATGGTTACAACGGAGGAAGCAGTAGAGGAGGGAATACAGATGGTGCAGCAGCAAGAGGAATATGTCATCACCTCCCCTGAGGAGGTGGAGATTCAGACTGTCATCGTATGATCAAACAGGATTCTAGCGACGGACTGGAACGGCTTTGGCTTCGACTGTAACCGTGCAGCCGATTACTGTAGAACTGTTTGTGTGAGTGAGTCGGTTGCAAAACTAAGGCCAAAGTGTTGATAGAATTTAAAGTTCTGAAATACAACTACTTACAAAGAAAACTGTGTGTGTGAGATATAAAGTGTGCATGAGGACCGTTTCCTTCATGTGATAGAGTTTTGTTGATGGATTTACTAAAATGGATCTCTGCTTTGAATATTCTAGCTAATTTGTGAACTTTTAGATGCCTCCTGCCTAAAGTAATGACTAGATGCTTTTTGTAAGTTTTTAATTTTGTAGGTCTAAACCGATGCCTTTTTTCTTTCTTCTCATGGTACAAACTGAACAAGTCTTTGCCTCCATTTGTTGTAGCCTCGTGTCTCTTCTTTACTGCAGTCAAAAAGTGAACTTCCATCTTCGTTCCACTTCCCAGTTCGTTGCAGTTCTCCCTTCTCCTCCCAGGTCGGCTACGGACAAGTTTTTGAACTGTTCATGTCAAGCTTGAGATGTGATGCTCTCTAAAGGCTGATCCAGACTGTGCGCTCGCCCGTGTGAGGCCTCCATGATGCAGTGTTGCAGTTCAAGCTCCTATAAGGCATCTTTAAGCATGACGGATGCACCAGTGGACAGACAGAACAATGTTTGACGCATTACACAGAGTTTGCATCAAATAAATGCTATTTTCTTACACAGTCTACTTCTGTTCTTTCAGTCATACACCAGTAACTCGCTGGGGCCTGTTGACATCTGCTCGTTTCGTTGCCTGAAGTTTTCCAAACATCAGTGGAAAAACACTAAAAGCCTTCTGTTGAGTTTGTGTATTATTGCAATGTGCATAATTTCATTTTTTCGTTTTAGAAGTTTGTGGCTGTAGAGTGTCATCCGCCATCTCAAGGGAGTCCCACCTGCTTTGAAAGTGCTCACACCTGCCAGGTAAAGCACAGCATCCACTGCTACAGCCCCTCTGAGACACATGAAAGCTCCATTGTACTTGTACTAGTTGAGACAGAGAAGTCCAGCCTGTTAACCTTGGTGCTGTTTGTTGTCCTGTGCTAAATCCACCGTAGCTGGATCGCACCATTTGGTGCTCGTAACCTTGAGCATGTCTACAGGCTACTTCTCTGTACGTGGTGCTCCAGTACTGAGGTTAGCACAGGCGCTATAATCAGAGAAGTGTCCCTGGCTGGTACATCACACAGTTTCTGGGTCATTTCTCAGCCCTCTGAGAGGGCCTCATCCACATGAGCAACAGAGGGAGACAGAGAGAGAGGGTGGGAGTGAGAGAGAGGGAAAGGTATTTATAGAAAAATGGGGCTTCGCAGTACCTTTTCTTGCAAAGAACCATTTCAGGACCAAGTGAGTGTGTCCCAGTTTCCTCCTCATCGCTCAGCCATAGGGTTTGAACCGAGGCTGAAGCTGGACTGCCTCACCCAGGATGGAGAGCCTGCCTTGCAGATGCTCTCCCATCTCCTCCGGCCTCCCTCTGCCCAGCTCCAGACTGCTGGTTCTCTGATTGAGAACAAGGGGAGGCGTTGGCCTACATAACCTGCAGATGTGACCTTTTAGGTGTGTTTGACTCGCGTAGCTCGGTAGAAGCTTTTGGAGGCGGTGAGCTCTGGTGAGGAGCAGCACGAGGGTGTCCTGAGGCACTCTGTGGCTGCAGCGACCCCCGGGCCGGGGGTGAAGATAGGCTGGCTGGAACGTGCCCTGCCGCAAGCCGGGCAAGGATGAGGCGTTTCCTGAGCAGAAAGGGCCGCTTCTCCCTTCGCCAGAGCAAGTCTGGGACCCGGAGTGCCTCCAAAGATTTCTGTAAGTCTATTTTTCTGAATAATGATGATTTTTACATGATGTTCCTGAAGCGCTTCACCTGCTGGAGGTAAGATGAGGATCTGAGACGTGTATGTGGGTCGCAGGCTGGAGGGAGCAGGACAGAAGGAAGTCTTGACAGTGCTGCTTATGTTCTGGTAGGGAGAGAAGAGGATCCACAGCTCCAGTCTATTTTAGATCAGTAGTCGACTAGGTTTTGATGTTTCCTTGCAGCAGTAGGACCACCAAGCTCTGTGGCTCTTTGAGTCTTCAAATCTGATGTATGATTTATTCACTCAGCCACATCTCACCCTGAATCTTTAGCCCTGTGCTCCAGGAAGATCTGCTTTGTCGTGCGTTCTTGTGTTGAACCAGATCTGACATTTCCACGTTTCTTTACAAAGTCTAGTACAGACTTTAATTTTCTCGCTTCTCCTGCAATTTTTAGTTTTCTTATATTTCGTCTCTAATTTAGTCTTCGTCTGTCTCACTTTCACTGTGTTTCCGTCGTTCTCTGCCTCTGATCAGCTATAAAAGGGAAAGCAGCGGTTTGGTCCTGGATGTTTGATGGATGACTGCGTGTTTGTGGATCTGCAGTTTTATAATGATTCTTATACAAGCGAGCTCTTTCATATTGAGAAGTTTTTCTTTCTGGTTGTGTACCTTGGGGTTCAGTCGTCGAGTGGCTGCGCTGTCTTGACTTGAGACAAACAGATTTCTTTTACGTAACTCATATTTCAGGCTGTCATCCACAGACCTGCAACAGAGTAGACCGACTGAATTATAGTCTGACATGAGTAGAAGGAACCCTTTAATACAAATGGGAAAAATGCAAAGGAGCAGCATGCGGGGAAGGACATTGGGCAATAAATTAAACAGAAATGAGGGCAAGCAGGTGTTTAAGACGGAGGTTTTCATTGTATTCGTGCACTGACGGATGCCTATAACGTCCTACATATGTCTTTGATGCATCCAGATGGCTGTAGATGAGTGAGATGAAGTCAAGTGAATCTTTTGGGACCTTTTCTGCAGCAGCAGAATGAGGCCAGTGACCAGGGGGAGGCCACTGGCTCCACATTTGGGCAAGACACCAACAGTCACAAATAACCACCTTCAGTCTATTTATTTATTTATTTTTACTGTAAATTCATTTAACTTCAAGACTGAAGCCTGCTCATGTAAAAGAGTTTTTGGTGTGTGTGTGGCTGTAGATTTCATGGCTTCAGTAATGAGACCAGTGTACCTGCTGCTACAGCTGAGCTGCCCTATTTAAACCAATGTACCATTTGACCTCCATTTTACAGCTCACAGCGTCTATAACAGTAGCTTGCACTAGATTAGTAATGTTCCTTCATGCTAATATGACATAGATACTCTCCAGGCAGTAAAGCATCTATCTACTGTGTTAACAGTCTGGACTAGTAGAGCTGCTAATGCTAATTATCTGTTCTTTTGAACCTCTCTGAGTTTTATCTCTGTTTGTGGTGCAGACCTCGGCCTCCCAGCCACCAACCAGAACTGGCCAGAGGCTTTCGGCTTCCGACTGGGGGGCACTGGGCCCAGCTACATCCTGTCAGTGGTGGAGGGCAGCAGTGCCTTCCTGGCCGGCCTGCAGCCCGGTGACCAGGTGGTGGACATCGAGGGCCAGGATGTGACCAACCTCAGCACACCGGCACTGATCGCCCTTGCTCAGACTCTCAAGACGGTCCCACCCAGCATCGGAGTGGTGTCACGGATCGAACAGGTTGCCAAAAAAAATGCCAAAACACAGTTCTACAGTATTCTGGTAGTTTAGTTGGACTTGCTTGTGTTTCTTGAAGACGTTTCACCTCTCATCCAAGATGTATCTGTATAAGGTATAAGTATCTGGAACTTCCAACCAGTCAGTCAGAGCTGATGGAGCCTCTTGGATGAAGGTGGAACGTCTTCAAGGAACTCAAGCAAGTCCAGTTGCTACGATTAAACTACGAGAACAACCATGACCTGGAGGACTGAGGATCTTCACAGACATGTTCTACAGTAGCGGAAACAATCTCTGAGGCAGCCAACACTCTTTTTCCTCCTCAGATTGACATCACCCCCGGCCCAGATGGCCGTTTTGGCTTCACCATCGTGGGAGATAGCCCTCTGATGGTTGAGGACTGCATGCCCAGCGGCCCGGCCGGACGCAACGGCCTCAAGGCCGGGGACTACGTCATGGAGGTCAACGGCATCCCGGTGAAGCATCATGAAACTGCAGCAGCCATGATCAAAGCGGCTCAGGGTCGACCGCTGCGTCTGGGCGTGCTCAGTATGGCCCGGCGGCCCAAGCGGCTGAGCAGCAGCATGAGGGTTCTGTCGCAGAGCGGGGACAGCGTCCGGGAGAGTCGCGCCCACAAGGCCATGGAGTTCAACAAAAAGGTGGGTGTGGAGATGTGTCTTCTATCAGTTTTATCAGTGTCATTTTGTGTATTTATTAATGTGCATGCATTTATCCATCCATCAGGTGGAGGAGGTTCTAGGAGAGGAGCCAGATGTGAAGGAGCAGCTGTTTGAGGTGCTGAAGCAGTACGCTGCTGAGAGGGATGTGGAGAGTCTGGCCGAGGCCCTGCCCGACATATTGATCACAGAGGAGCATCAGCAGCTGATTGACAGCGTCAGGTAGCCAATCATTTGCTCAGATAAGCAGCTGGAGACGTACACAGGTAAAAATGTTTGTGTGGAGAATCTGAAACTGTTCATACACCATTTCCTCCGACACTAAAACCGTTTTCTCTGCTGCACTAATCCGTGTGTAACAAACCTCTGCTGCAGTGGTGACTTTACATCTCGTTTTAATGATGCAATCAGGACAGTGCATTAATATTTTAGCCAGTGCAGTTCTGTTTTCATTCTGAAATCTAACAGGGTATGCAGAGTTCAGAGTTGCACTATATCCCTCGATGCATTGTTAGGAAGTCTGAGGCTCATTATGAGGGAAACTACTGTCTAATAACCGAACAGCTGAAGCTCCTCTTAGGTTTGTCAGTTTAGTTTAGAGTGTACGTTTGGGGATTTTTGCCACACTTCACTGGAAAACATGAACAAAACATAGTGAGAACAGTTTATTAACAGACAGTGACACATTACAAATAATCCGCACTGTGTGTCTGAACAAATAAGCAACCTTTTTTTTTCTTCTGAAATGCATAAAAACATCCAAAAACTGTCGAAATCAGTCTCCATCCAATGGCATTTGATCACATACCCATTCTCTCATGTTATTAGTGTTTTTTGCTTAGAGAGAGAATCAATATTTAAAAAGGCCCCCTGAAGTCAATGCTTTTGAGATTTCTTGTAAAAGTGCACTTGGGGTGTTGTAATCCATCGTGTGCAGGGTTTCCTGTACAGTGCAGCCTGACACAACAATGGAGCACAGTGAGGGAGCAGAAACACCCTAATTGCCCCGTGAAATCAATATTTCAGAACCCCGCCCCGTCGGTGTTTTGCTGAGAAATGTGTGAGGAGCACATGTGAATAAGTTTGATCTGACTGCTCTCCTCGGGGGCTTGAATGTCAGTCCTGTGGCTACGGTTAGAAATCCACCGCCGAATATTGCATTTCTTCCTCCTCAGCATTGATCGGAAAATCAAAACCCCAAACACAATACGGCTGCACACACTTGCAATTTTTTTCCTCCCCTCTCTCTATCGTTTCCGCTCTCACTTTGGCTTTCTCTCAGTTGGTCTCTTTCTTTCCAATTTCCCTGTCAGCTGTGATGCACTCTTTGATACACGCACCAATTTCTTTTTGTGCATCACATCACTGGATGCTCTTTATTCCCTCCTCTGCGTACAGCTCTTAGCTGCTTCAGCCAGTTTGCTGCTGGTTGTTGAGATATGCACACAGACAAACATGCAGATGCTTAATCTCCACGCACACAGCACTGTTTCTAGCCACACCGTCCTCGCTTTGAAGTTCCATGCTGCAAGAAATTATGAACTGCTGCCTCAGGTGAGTACTGAAAGATCATTTGGCTTTGCTCGTTTTCAGATTTTGTGACAGTTGCAGCATGACATCAAGTTTTGTGTCCTTTGGTGTGTGTCTCATGTGGCCGTTTATGATTGGTCATTAAGGGAGCTGCTGCTGGAGCATCCTGTATGAGCAGACTAGACTTCAGTCAATTAGTGTTGAGTCTTCCTGTAGCTCGTTGTTTGGTGAGTAATCTGTTCCCCCTCCAGCTAAAAAACAAAGCTGTTGTCCAGCCTTCTCGTTTTCCTCCAAACACAGCTGTCTGTCTCACAGCACGGGTCCATCCTTAGAAAGCTGCCTGTGAAAATGCTTTGTAATGTTTGTTTTGCACAGGAGTCCCATTAATTATGCATCAGCTGTACCCACCGAGGACCGGGAACGAGCTGTTTTGTTCACCTTCTCTCAATAAGAGTCGGAATCAGTCTTTAAAATAATCCACTGTGCCTTCAGAGAGCTGGAGCTACCCACAATTCCATTGTTTGCGTTTAGTTCAGCTGCGCTTTGACCTTGACAGGATTTGATATGCAAAGTTTTTCCTCATCTCTGCCTGTTATGGTGTTTCAGTCATTATTAGCGCTGTAATTCTGTGCTCCTTGTTGCTAGGACGGCTGTGCTGATTTTTCAGATTGCTGTTGAGTCTCTAGAAGGGGATGAATATCTCCTTTATATTCTATGTTTCTGATGTGTTCAGCAGAAGTTTGGGACTGACTTTCTGTGGGAGTTGTGCTTCGAGGTTTTCTACGAGACGTGCCTCAGGGTGGTGTTGGTGTTTTAGGACGATGGGATGTCTGAGTAATCTAGAGAAATGTGTAACATGGAGGTGCTCTGGGTAGCAGGCTTGTTTCCAGGCTGGTTTTTCTGTTATTGGAAATGTTGTCTGGTCAGTTACATCGATCAAGGCTGAAATATTCCAATGAGAAATGAATGAATCACCAGGAAGTTTTGTACATTTTTGTCACAGAAGAAAGCCCTCTGATTCCAGTTGTTTCCTAACTTTTCATCTGGCACCACCAGCAGATTAAACTTTTTTTTGTTTTTTTTTACTTTTTCCTGAGAAATATCTAAAAAACTATGTGATGAATTTGCACAAACTGGCCAGATAGTCAGTCCTCATGACTCTGGTGATCCCTGAACATTTCCTCTCGTGCCACCAGGAGATTTGCATTTACAAACTGGTGTTAATTAGCACGCGGTAGCATGCTAAAATGCTAAGCTAAGATGGGGCTCATGGTGAACATTAATGCTACTGTAACCCTATGCTGAAAATTTCAAGTTTTGAATCGTGCAATTGACCAACTCTGCTCGTTTCTTTCAGTAAATGATCCATTTTAATTCCAGCGTTGGCCTCCCTGCATGCAAAAGTTCCATGAAACAATCCCTCCGCCACTATTTTGAATGAACACTGTCTATGCATGCTGTCTTTAGCCCCGCCCAGGTTGACTGTGATTGGTTCAAAGAGCTTTTCCCCCCTACAGAAGAAGGAGGTGCAGCTGTGGAGATAAGTCTCATGATGCAAGACTGGCACTCCACAGTGGAGACCCAGGACGCTCGTATAATATTTAACGTGTCCCAGTACGTACGATGTCAGATGCAGCCTGCCATCAATACCAGGATGTCCTTCCTCATCTGATTTTACAGTTGGCCACTGTGACCCACAGTCCTCTGCACAGCGACGTCACATGGTGGTGTTAGTACTCACAGGTTTGGGGAGCAGAGAGCGCTCCATAGATGATGGCTGCACAGTACTGAAGAAGTAGCAGCATGTCCCAGTTGAACGCATACTACACGCCATGTGTGTACTTTGTAAGGGCGGCTGTAGTACACGCTTAAAGTCAAACGTATGGGATTTGGAACGCCTCCTGAAAGGCGTGTGGGCAGCAGCAGCAGCAACTCATCTGGACTGACACCAGATGTGGTGTAGACACAGTGAAACCAACAATCCGTGATTTTTGGTTTTTTTTTATCTGAAGCTTGAAACACACATTTTAGGGGCATGAAAGGCTGAACTTTTTAAAAACGTGACCATTAAAACCTCCTAAACGTCAGAATGTGAGCGTCGTGGTGGTGATTGTGGTGCTCGCGGTGCCTCACCGAGCCGTTGAAGTTAGGAGCGAGTCTGAATATGTGGCCATTGATTTCCTGTTTTGTCTGATTGAACTTGCTGGGTGCCCTATTGCTCTTAATTAAAGTGATGTAAACAGTGGTTTGCTCAGCCTCCCGGTACGAACGAACACCATCGACTGAGTAAATTAATAAACCGCACCGCAACGTTTCATATGAGGGATTATCGGCGTGCTTCATCATGAGCTGGGAAACAGAGATGGGAGTCAGCGTGCCTCCTTTTGAAGCCGAATCTCTCTTTTCTAAAATATTTACTCGCTGCCTCCTCCTCCTCCTGTTGTGTCAGGCTGTACGCCTCAATCACTGTCAGTCCCTGTGACAGTCCTCCATCAAACACTCCTATTTGCATTCAGACACAAATCTGCAAACTCTCCACCCACCCCACCTCAGTCTGCTAATTAGCAGCCATGTATCAGACGATGTGAAATGTGCTTAACGGTGGATGATTTGTGCCTTGACCAGCCCGGTGCTCGGTCTGCCTCTGTCCCCCCGCCGGTTTGCCACACCCTCCCAAAGCATGTGTTCTATTTTTAAGCAGCCTACTTCTTTTAATAAATTCTCTCTTAGGTTTCTGGCGCACTTGCCGGTGTCAATTCGTAACCGTCTGTGAAGCCCAGGGGTCAGCGATCGCTCCAACGCTTGAAAGTAGAGACTGTGTGCTGGAGCGTCATTAGAGACTATCTTGGGACAGCCATTAGCTCTTTTGTTCGTGTCGCTCTGTCGTTTTGTGATAACTCAGTGAAATTACAGTGAACTTTGGGCCTTTGATGGTACTGCATCTGCATTTAGACTTCAAAGATGTGAGTGAATGAGTCTGATGTATTCTTAACTCAGAATGCAGTGCAGCGTCTCTCTGACTGTTTTATGAATCAGTTGATTTGGGCCCAAAGTGTTTTTCCACATTTGGATCGTTTTCAGCTCTGGTGTAATGAGAAGTGAGCACATGTCACACCGACGAGCTGTGAAGCTGCCGTACGTTCATTAATGCTCTTTCCCGTTTCGTGCAGTCATGGTGCTGACCTGACTGTGGAAATCCACTGGGGCTCTCCTCACTTCTCTCCTCTCTCCCTCCTCACCTACTCCTCTGTTCATCTCATTCTTTCCTTCCTCCTCCACTGAGGGAAGAGAAGATTTGTCACTCATTATCTCTTACGGCTGAATGATGGACAACTCAGGGATGAGGATTATCCTTTAACCGTGACCGAGGAGGCTTCCCTGCGCCCACCCTGACCCCGGCGTCCATGCTGCCTGAGGAAGGGGATGAAACGATGGGAACGCGTGACGAGTGCCGCCGCAGACGTGAAGCTGGAGAACAGCTGATGATGCTGCCTGAGGATGTTTTGGAGGTGTGGAGGGATGTAAACCACAGCCACTCCTATAGTTTGCTCCCTCCCTCTCTCTCGTTCTCTCTCTTTCTTCATCTGGCTGCTTTCCGAGCCTGCAGCGAGCGCCTTTGAGATCCAGGACACCTTCCTATTTCTCATCTTTCTCTTCCTTCTCCTCTGTCCGGGAGAGTTGTTTGTTCAAACTAGATGGGGACCCACCGAGATAGAGGGGAGGCATTTGCATTGCTTAACTGAGCTCAGGCACTTCCTCAAAGCCCCGAAGAGCCATGGGAAGGGATAGGAGCCTTTCCAGACACTTTCGGTATGGCACTTTTCCTTTGATCCCGGCCGCGTTCGCTGTGCTTTGTTTTATTTGTGCTGAGGTTGTGTTTGAAGTTGCTGAAGCGCTGTTGTGTGACTGCTTTTTGTGTGTTTGTTATCAAGGTTTGTATTGATGATAATTTTACACTTGTGCGGTAGCGTGTGAAGATATGCTGCTCCTACATCCGACTCCCAAAACATCACGAGAAGCCCACCAGACTCTGACAGCCTCACATCTCCAAACAGGACTTGTTTAGCTTTTTGTGGCGTTTTTAATTCCACGCTGTAATTCCACTCCACTGTGTCTCAAGCTGTGCTTTGCATTTGCTAATTCATACTTGGCCCAGCTGTGAAACTGGCTGATCAGAAGTGGGTCTGATAATAATGGTTCTTGCAATGAGCTTCCCAGCTGATTGCAGTTGTCATTCATCCCTCTGTGCATTGTGTCCTTGATCCACTCCTCCTTCACACCTAATTATAGGCTCCTCTCGCCCTCTTTATAATTGAGGGCATCCCAAGGCCTACATCCAACTTCATGGGAGGAAAGCTGTGAAGTTTCTACTCACTTGTTTTGGTCAGTTTACAAGACTTTACAAGTGAGGATTTCTCGGATTGAGCTCAGAACATGACGGGAGATTCACAGGGAGCTGGAGACGTGGTAGAGGCCATTAATCAATAATTTACAGAATGAAACGGAGCCAGAGTCTGTCATAAATACACAATAAATGGCCTTATTCTGTTTCGTTTTCCCCATCCACCGTTTGTCCAAGGAGCCGTGGTGATGTATGAGTGTTTTTGGGGAAAGTTGTGTGGCCTACATAGCCTGTAAGCAGAGAATACACAGCTCCATTCCCAATAGTTACGTGACCCTGGCCTAGAAAGAGCTCCACTTCTCCACTCTCTCTCTTTTCTTGTCTCACGGCTCTGTCTGATTTTACCTCCAGTCTCCATATCTGCCGTCAGCTCCTCTGTCTTTCACTTCCCTCTGACTCTCCGTCACTCATTCTGATTTTCTTGAGGCTACGCTCGCTGATTCTAACTAGAGCATCAGAGCTGGTCCTGGAGATACAGAGCACAGCAGCCTGGTGTCACAGGCGAGCACACCTCAGGCCTCCGGGGATGTGTTCACTTTCTTCTGCATGAGCACACTGTGCACTTAATCACTGTCACCTACATACACCACCTCCCCTGGTTTTTAATTTGCATGCATATCTCTACTTTAAGCACATGAAATGACACCTAATGGAAAAGATTCCGACAGTTTCTGCAGCTTCAGCAAAGGCGAGACCCCCAACGTCGTCTTTAACTTTCTGACAGTGAATCAAGATTAACCTTCTTTTATTTTTTGCACCAAACACCTTATGCATCTGATTTGTTGCTAAGCCACAGTTTAAAAAAACCAAAACACAAAATATACTTTGCTCATGTTTATTGTATGTATTTGGAGGATCAAGAGAGGTGTAGTATATGAAACAATAGTGGACCCATGATTGAGCCCTGGGGTACACCACATGCTTTCTTGCGTTTGAGTTTTTGAGGTGTGCTGTTTATGACAATTGTAAACAAACTTCTGAGGAAAAAGAAAGACAAGAATGCATAAATAATTGATGCATCGAATGAAGACTGTTCCTGTCGACAGAGTTTATCATTAATCAAATCAAGTTTATTTCTATAAATGACTGGAGTTGACCAAAATGCAACAACAAATGTATTTGCAAAAAAGCAAGACAGAAAAACAGAATCAATTTGTAAAATAAGATCAATATAAAATACTAATAAGTCTAGAATACCAGCCTATAAAAACCAGAGAAACTGAAAGTCGCTGTAATTCTTGAGATTTTTCCTCAAATCTGTCAATAGAGGATTTGGTTGACAAATTAAGGCTGTTCTGAAACTTTCTATTACCTGCCAGCCTCAGATGTGGATGAGCAAAAGCTATTTTTTTTCTGTCTATAGAGTCGGCAGAGAAGTTGTGAAATGTACCCAAATGACACAAATGACTTTGTAAAGAAACAGGAACCTTGAAATCAACTCTGTATTAAACAGGTAATAAATGCAGTGAATAGCTTTTTGTATTAAGCTGAGATTAGAAATGTCTCTTCAAGTTACCGGCGTTATAAGCATCCAGATGCTTGTAATCTAGTGCTGCAAAATAGTTTTTGTTATTAATAATTATTACAAAACACAAGCATTGCAGAGGATAATATCTGCCTCGTGACATTTATGCTCGACTGTGTAATCGACTGTAAGAACTGAACTGGTGAGAAATCTAAACCAGTTTGTCTTTTAGAGTCATTGCTTAGTTGTGATGTTAAATTACAACTGGTGCAATAACCAGAACATGTTGCTTCAGGGTCTGATTTGTCCCAAGAACTGGGCCAGTTTTTGAAATTTTCACCCCCGAGTTCAGTCATTAACACCTGAAAAACTCTAACGCGGAAATGAACAATCTGTGACTTCATGGATGAGAGTCTCTTTGGAGCGTTTTGAAAACAAAAGGTCTCTTTGTGCTCGTCACCCTGAAAAATCCCGGCTTCGACTGACACTTGCTTGATCAAAGCCGTACGCAAGAGCAAAGAGCCGCAGCCGCGTGACACTGATGCGATTGAACTTGTTCTAAAAATTCTCGGCTGCAACTTTGCCAAATTTAATGCAACAGAAATAAAGCACATCCAAATGCTTCATTCATTTTAGCCGCAGCAGCCCTATAGGCTGCCTCTCCATGTGCGAATGTGCTGCGCTCAGCAATCATCTAAAAATGGCACGGCTTGCATTTTTTTTAACAGATCCCAGTACAAGAACCTTTGGGGTTTAAGGGGTTAAATGTGACCAACTTTAGAGAAGAGGTGACTGTATTGAATTTAAGTTGAATGTGCAGCCTTAGCTTCTATAATTATAAAAGTTAGAAGTGTTTTTATTACACTTATGTAGAGATTGCCTCTGCCACAGTTCTTTTTTATTGGATCAACGTGAGGTGGGTTAGTTATAGTTCCAGAGATGTTTTTAGTGTATATCTGAATAAACCCGTCAACTTTAGTGACTCAGAGTTTTGTCTCTGGAGGGGAAATATATCTGTTTGCTTCCTTCAACTTCGGATTGCAAGATATTGGTACGGAGGCGACTTATTTCATGTGTCATTCTTAATTCTTGCTGTAGGTTTCCACACAGCTCCCCCGTTCTCGCCTCCTAACGATGTTCCCAGATGTACCTGTAAAGTCGCTGTGACAGCTTTGAAAACCAAAGTGCACCGCCGAGCCTCGTTCTCGACGGCGGCGTTTAAACGGGGAGCTGGGCTGTGCGTACGGAGGCGCACTGGAGCCGGTGCACTCTGGAAAAACCAAAGCACTCTGTTCTCCTGTGCACAGTGGGAACACCCAGGAGATTCACGGTGAAGACAGAGAGAGTTGTGTTGAGGATCGAGGCAGCATCATTTTGTAGGCGGGATGGGGAGGAAGATATGCAGAGCAGGAAAGGAACAAATGAGGTGTGTGTGAGAGAGAGAGAGAGAGAGAGAGATGGAGAAGCGTCCTATATTTAAAGAAAAAACACGCCCTAAAACACTTTTCAAAACCGTTATTGGCAATGCTTCTTCCATTTCTGGGTCATTTCTGTTGTTGTGTGTTTTTCTTGTTCCGGCAGATAATTGGCCAAATATGAAGCACAAGCAGCAAGCAGCACCACAACAAGGGAGTTTAAAGGAAGCCGGCATTTCAAGCGTCTGTAACATCAGTGCTAGATGTCAGGTTTGAGTGTTGGTCCCGAGGAAACAGACAGAAAAAAGGGCTTGTGCTGATGCTGAACAATCCTACAGGGAAAAATCTGTCAGAGAAAACTAATTTTTACACATCAGAGGTTGTGCACTTGAAATATTATCATTGTTTGATGAGTCTGATGCAGCAACAAGAAGTTAGAGCCGATGCTCACATACAAGGCACCCTTAATGCCACAAACTGAAATCTGAAGGTGGGTTTTTCCTTTAAGAAAAAAAAAACATTGAGTTGATAATGGGAGGGGAAAATAACACTAGTAGGGGGAGTGGAGTGCTTCTTTCTCCCAGAGGTTTTCTGCCACTGAGCTTCCTCCTTTTCATATAATAGCTGCTAGCTGTCACTGATAGTCAGCAGTCTTACCTGCAGCTGCTAATGTGACAGGATCACACAACAAAGCTCGCCTCTTTTCTCTCTCATTCTCTCGCACACATGCAAACTCTCTCACAAACACGATCCCTTCTACCTGCCTCGACCCTCCCAGGGGACGACGTGGACTCAACTATTTTTGAACCAATTAAATGGATCCTGCAGCTGGAACAACACATTATCCTCCTGTTTTTTGGCTGCTTTTGGGTGGCGGATGCTCTGAGAGATTGGGATAAAGACTCTTGGATGTTAAAGGATTTGTGCTGAAATGCTGCTTTGATGTAGTGCATGTGAGAGCCTTTCCACTGACCTGGAAGCTGCTCCCCATCTGCCTTTCTGTAGAACTTTGTCTGAGGTTGTGTCTGATTCCACAATGTTTGTCAGGATCTTCATTCCCAAGAAGCATCGGGAGCGCTTTGACGAGGTGGTGTCCCAGAGCCTGATGAGCCGGCTCAAGGGGCGGAGCTTCAGCGACCCCAGCCGCAACCACCTCCGCCGCAGCCGAAGTGAGGACCACCCCGAGCGCCTCCTGGTCTCCACGCGAGCCAGCTCAGTGCCACGCACCCACGCGGAGGAAGGCGTGGTCCCCCCAGCCCGAGGCATGCGCAAGACCACCTCCCTCATAGCTGGCCACTCCAGCGGCTCCACCACCAACTGCAGGTCTGTGTGAAAGAACAAGGAGCTGAGGTTTTTAGGTTGGTCCGAGCCCAGGTTTGATAAGATGAGCCTTTATTAAATGGGGACATTGACAGTGTTACAGCAGCAAAGGGGATTGTGCAAAAATAAAGAATACTAGTTCTAGAAATAACAGCACAGATCCTTTAATGAGTAGAAATACTGAGAGAAGTAATAATTCATAAGTAGAAAAATAAGGATACAGCACATGTTCTAGTAGAAAAATAGATATTGCACAGAGTTTTTTAAAAGCACAAAATCAATATTGTACCCAACAGATGTGACAGTTTTATCTCATCCTTTCTCAGTAGGAAGCCACAGCTGTTGTTTCCCATCAGCTACACACTACGTGTCATTTCTAGTTGTCAACGACACCGTTTTCCTTAAATAACGTGTGCTCTTCAGAAGCCCTCTGCACAGCATCCGTTGTGACAGGACTTTCTGTGTGAGCGTGAAATCTATGTGAACTGCGACATGTAGGATTTAGGTGTGAAACAGACCCTTCAGTGGTGAAACCGGTGGGAGCATAAACCTGTTTAGACAGTCATGCCTGCTCTGCTGCTCCCTTCATCGGCTGTGACGCTGTCTCTCATCCTGAATGGACGTCAGCTGCTTGTCTGCTTGGATGTTAAAACCCTGAACAAATCCATTGTTAGAAGATATCCAGAAACAGATAAACAACGTGACTGCAAACATCCTGCCGCAATCTCCTTAAGTTATATACCCCAAAAAACGGCTAATCTCTTGTGCGGCGATGGCTCATGAAGATGTTAAACAGCTCCCTGGGGAAACACTGTCCATATTTAAGTAGGCTTGTTCATGCAGGATGTGAATTTAAAGTATTCTGCTGAATATGGAAATCTGTTGGAGGGCCACATTTAGACTCTGGTTCTGTCAGAACGGGCAGAAGAACCTGTCACTTAAATCGCAGTATTTAGATCAGTTTAAAGATCGCTGTGCAATAAGCCACTAATTAAACATGAATCACATATTAACCACATTGATTCAGAGGACCATTTCTCCCATCAGTTATTAACTAAAGCTCGTTTTGTCTCTTCAGGACAGTGAGAGTGTGCAAAGGCAACATGAGCTTTGGCTTCACGCTCAGAGGTCACGCTCCGGTGTGGATCGACTCGGTGATCCCCGGTAAGTTAAGGATTAGTCATTACACTGCTGTGGTGTCTGTAGGACTTTGTAGACCCGTGCTTTAATCAGAAAGCTCTCTCTGTGATTCGGTTTCTGTTGTGCAGGAAGTCCTGCAGACAAAGCAGGTCTGAAACCAGGAGACCGCATTCTGTTCCTGAACGGACTGGACATGAGGTAAAGCTCTCACCCACATTAACTGTACACAGTCTGTGCATGTCTGTGCCTAAGTTCTGCATAAAGCTGTGCTGCTTCAAAAGCAATTTGCTAGAAAGGAAACAGAAACTATGCTAATATGATTCCACTGCTGAAGATGTTTTGTTGCTGAAGGGAGCAGAGATCTAATTACAGACGGATTTCATAAAAACCGACGATAGCTGAAGCTGAAAAACAAATATTAATCACTCCAGAAAACATAAAAGAAGTGTTAACATTTTAACATCTTCTGCAGAATAGAGAAAGCTTTTATTTAGCTGGTTGGTAATTTGTGCATCAGTAGAGCAAAATGACATCACACAACTGTGGTTTTAGGTACACGCTGTGACAAAGCTATCATTAAATATGTATCTGCATGTGTCGCCTTGCATACCGTGTGTCTGCCTGCAGGACCTCCTCCCATGAGAAGGTGGTGTCCATGCTGCAGGGGAGCGGCGCCATGCCCACCCTGGTGGTGGAGGACGGCCCGCCGACCTTCTCCCTGTCGGAGCAGGACCTGGCGGGCAGCAGCAGTGGCGTTCCCGCAGAACGCGCCCGCTCCCCTGTGCTCAGCTCCCTGCAGTGGGTGGCGGAGATCCTGCCTCCCAGCATCCGGGTTCAGGGCCGCACCTTCGGTCAGCAGCTGGAGCATCTGCTGACCATCCAGGAGAGGTACACCATCTGCAAGGCTCTGGAGAACTTCTTCCAGCACAGGTGAGCGAAGGACAGGTGGACTGGGAGAGGAGAGTTTTATGATTTTAATTAGGTAGAAGTGCACTGAGTGTTTTTAGATCGTTCGTCTTACTTCGTCTGATTAAGTTGGTTTTTTAAAGCGCCCACATGTTGCTTTTTGGGGAAACAAAATTGGCTTCTATAAAGAAAAAAACACACAAATCAAAATGATGAGTTCACATTCAGGTTAATAAGTTCTTTTAGAAATGTTTCACGTCTCCTGCTACCCACTAATTGCCAAAGCTTCTGACTGGACTCATTCTGTTTCAGTTAACTCATATTCACATTTTGAGTTGACGCTGAATAATATTCAGTAACTGCTTCTCTGCACAGTTAGAACTATTATCATTTACTGCTCTGTATGTGTTTATTTTCCCTGCACAATGTACATTTTTACATTTTATGCTCATACTTTTCTACTTGTGTTTCTATTTTTTGGACATATTTTCTACGTCTTGTATTTTTAGTATGATTCTGATCTCTGTCACCTCGCCTGCGTTTCCATGGCAACAGGAACGTTGACACCCTGATCGTGGACGTGTTCCCGGTGCTGGACACTCCGGCCAAACAGGTGATCTGGCAGTTTGTGTACCAGCTGCTGACGTACGAGGAGCAGGAGCACTGCCAGAGCAAGATTTCCCGTTTCCTCGGGTACAAAGCTCCAGGTGTGTGCACACAGTTTACTTCTTTGTGACTACTTTTGGTTTTTTTTTCAAGGTCTGTATGATGAATTAAAGTCGGTGTGAAATGGACACTGTGGTGAGAATGTCGTAGGTCACCGTCGAGATCTTGAATTAAATCACTGAAATACAATCGACTCACTCCAGTTCCTCCACCGCCGCCACCTCCTCCGCCTCCCCCGGAGCCCGAGGTCGCCCCCGAGCCCCACCGGCGGAGCAGCTCCATGAGGGTGACGGGAACCACGTACAGGAGCAGCGTGAGGGGACGTAGCTCCGATGACCTGGTCATTGGCACACACTTGGGCATGGGTACTGACCTCCGTCTCTCCGTCATCATCGCTAGCAAACTGTGACGCCGCGACGTCACAGAACCTCCTCATCGCTGCCATGGCTTCGTTACCATTAACACTCATGTTAACCTCATTGTCACTGTGGACAGAATTAGAATTGTGTTGCCGCTTAGAATCTGTTTGCTTCCAGTTTCTTTTGATAGCTTGTGTTTAGATTCTTTTATAGCTTGACATATTCCCATGTAGTCCAACATCAGACTACATGCCAGACTTTGCTAACTGGAGAGAATTTTCCTCCCAAATCAGCCCAAGTCAACGCCAATCAAATCTGGAAGCTCAGTTAGCTGTAGTCCCAGCCTGCCTAATGCTGTGTACATCCCCTTCCTGCTGATAAAACAGCAGCAGAGCATGGATACGGGACCTCGGGGCTGCCCTGTGCTGTCTGGCACTGGGGTTTTTTGCTTCCTGGGGTTGTGGGTTGAGGCCTTCCTCGCTTTGAGACTGGAGGTTGGGCTCTTTGTTGTGTTCCTCGAGCCACTTCTGAGCGGTTTTTGCAGCATATCAGGGTGCACTGATCAGCTGGGGGAGGCTGCTGATGTCATTACCATGAGGGGCTGTGCTCGGTCCACATTCACTGCAGACCATTGCTTTGTAACGAGGTGATCGATGTCCGTCACTTCACCTGTCAGCGGCTTCACTTCGTGGTGGCGCTGTGCTTATGTGGGTTGTGTTTAAGTCATTCTGATGTCACTGCAGGCCTCCGTGCAGAGCCAGTTCTGGAGACAGGGATGAGATTGGCTCCAGGAGAGAGACAGTCGGGGGATGGCACCTCCCTCCCCGAGACTCCCAACAACCTCACCAATGTATGTAGCCGGGCCTGCTTTCATGAGATAAGAGGATTCATCATTATTCACACGATTAGGACAAAAAGCCTCACTCTGGTTTCTTTGTTCTGTCGTACCAGCTGTCGGCGGTGTACGCTGAACTGGAGAACATGTATTCAGCCAAGAGGTCCAAGTCTCTGAAGAGCCGCCCTCCTCCTGCCCCAGAGAGTTTGTTGGATCTGGAACCTCCTTCACGCACAGCGTCGCCAACAATACATGCCAACACAGGTATAAATCTACATTAAATTCATAGCAACTGGCATTAAATTGAAGTGAAGCGCTCTGTGTTTAGTGTAGGAGCACATCATCAAAATGTTTGAAAAACGCAGAGTTTGAAACAGTCCTTTATTTTCAGTCTTAAACACTGAGCTGCATTAGAACACGCTCATGGTCGATGTGGAACACGTGAACATGCTATTAAAGACACGCTTCAATCAAAAATCTGGTTTCTTAGCTGGCTAGTAATGAATGGGACATGAGTGAGGAGACATGATGAGCCTTCACTGAATCAAGTCTGAGTCTCTTGTGTTGGTTGTAGGTTCATGAACCTCTGGGTGTCAGTAGAGAGACGTTTCTATCAACTGCTGCACCCAACGTGATTCAATTAAACTGCTCCATGAAACCGTTTATACTTGTTCTTCTCTCAGGGAGCCGTAAAGGCCCGTCGTCTCATACATCCTGGCCCGAGCCGCTGCCCAGTCCCCCTCCGTCCCAGTTCTACCCATCAGGGTTGACCAGCCAGACCAGTGGGGAGTCCAACCCCTACATCAGCCTGGACAGCCCCCCTCCGTCGCCTCCAGAACCCCCGGACTACCCGTCCAGTCCTCCCGCCCACCGCAGCAACAAGCGGCGCTACACATTCTCCAAACCGCCACGCTCGGAGGACACGGACCGCTTCCTGGACGCTCTGAGCGAGCAGCTGGGTCAGCGGGTGGCCATCGTCGACGACTTCTTGACCCCTGAAAACGACTACGAGGAGGTAGAGTCGCATTTACACTGAATCATTGGTTTATAGATCTCCTCAGCATCATCTGCTGATAAATAAGTAATGTTTTGCTTGACAGTTGTGACCTCACTCTGTTTGGTGTAAACATTAATAACAACAACTTAATATTGAAGAATGTTCTTCTAGATGAAACTATTCCAGAATTAAAAGTCTTTCTTTTTATCGCTGGGTACCAGTTTTTCAGATATACACAGTAAAGTAAATGCAAAGTGCTCACTCTGAAGATACCCATGGCTCCATATGGTTGAGCGATGATGGGTTGACTCCCCCTGGTCCACTGATTCCCTCTTGTACAGTAACGTGAGCCTCGTGTCCAAATGTAAAATAGGACAGACCTCCTTGACACACATACACAGTGAGAACAGGGTAGAACGGATTTCTCTGACCTGTACAGTTTGTTCCCCTCCGTGAAGTTTTGTTTTTCATCACTTTGTCCTCAAACAGTCGCTAAACAAGACGAAACAAAGAGCAGCTCCTTCCTTACCATGTAAAATCTTTAAATCCTGCTGCCAGTCCCACTTTTTACTGACAGGCTGTGGAGCTTCAGGGAGGAGACGGTAGCCGCTTTCAGAAAAACAGATTTTTACATGAATCATCTTTGTTTTCAGTCTGACTGAAACAAAACACAGAGATTATCCTCCTAGAGCGGACATTTATCACTCTGCACCAGACAATCGCCAACATATTCATCCATCGTTTTGCTCTTATGGGGCAGCGGACTGTGGTGGAGGATCACTGGGTGGTCCGCTTTGTTAGAAATTACTCAAAATTTGTCCAAACTTTGTTCAGATTTTGTCCATAATAACACCAAATTCATCCAAAATATATAGAACACTACTAGAAATTCATCCAAAAAGCCCCCCAAACATCCATCCATCCATCATCTCTACACCCTAATCCTCACCAGGGTCATGGGGGGCGGAGCCTATCCCAGCTGACTCAGGGTGAAGGCAGATTCACCTGGACAGGTAACCAGTCTATCACAGGGCTACACTTAGAGACAGACAACCAAGCACACTCACATTCACACCTACGGACAATTTACAATCACCAATTAACCTCAGCATGTTTCTGGACTGTGGGAGGAAGCCGGAGAACCCGGAGAGAACCCACGCTGCACGGGGAGAACATGGAGACTCCACGCAGGAAGATCCCGGGTGTCCTCACCGGGACGCCAACCGGCGACCTTCTAGCTGTGAGGCCACGGTGCTAACCACTGAGCCACCTGCAGCTCATTATGACCCTAATTTAGTCAAAATATTAAAACTAAACTAAAACTAAGGAAGCAGCTGAATGAAGTTTAGTTTCATGAGCTTGTCCTGCTAGCTTTGATGTTTGTGGCCTTTCCAGAGTAATGTGGGTTATGGAGAGAAGAACACAAGCTGCAGTTCTCACTAGCAAACCTGCACAGTGGGCGTATGAAAGAATATGTGGAGGATTTCACAGATTAACTGCAGCTTTAACATAAAGACACACAGCTAGGTAGTTCTGCACAAAAAGGCAGTCAGATTCTGGTTTTGAATTGTAGAACATGTGTAGCTTGACAAGTGTACCAGAAGAATTCCACCTTGACATTCAGGTCTAATGACGTGTAATTGGTGTTAATGCCAGGATGTTGTGCAGATGGGCTTCCCAGATGACGAGGACGAGGACAACGAAGACGACTTGGGGGTGGACGAAGAGGAGAACGGAGGATTTGTGGCTCCAGAGCTCAGCAGCCCGAGTGACGTTCAAAGCAGCAGCGGAGAAGAGAACGCCTCCTCCCTCACCTACTCCTCCTCCTCTGACCACATTCCTCCGCCTCCCATGACTCCACCTCCGCCTCCACCTGTCCAGTTCAATGACCCGCCTCCCCCTCCTCCTCCTCCGCCACCTGCACAGACCCAACCTCAGCAGCAGCAGCAGCAGCAGCAGCAGCAGCAGCAACAACTCAGCTACACTCCTGAACACTCCCCAAGAGCATATGTGCCCATCCGCAGGAAATCCGGCCCTCCTCCACCGCCTCCTCCCCGAAATAACCCGCCACCTAAACGCCACTCCTTGCATAAAGTTCTCCCCACACGAGATGACCTCCAGGTCCATGCTACCATACAGGAGCTGAAAGCATACCAAGAGCAGCAAGCCTACCAGGAGAGACAAGCCTACGAGGAGCAGCAGGCATACAAGGAGAGGCAGGCGTATGAAGAGCAAAAGGCCTATGAAGAGCAACAGCTGTTCCAGGAGCAGCAGGCCTATCAGGAGAAACTCTTTAAAGAGAGGCAGGCTTATGAAGAGCAGAAAGCTTACGAGGAGCAAAAGGCTTTTGAAGAGCAGCAAATGTACCAGGAGCAGCAGGCCTACCAAGAACGACAAGCGTACGAACAGCGCCAGGCCTACCAGGAGCAAAAAGCCTACGAGCAGCGTCAAGCCTACAAGGAACAGAAGGCTTTCGAAGAGCTTCAAGCCTACCAGGAGCAAAAGGCGTACGAGGAGCGAAAGGCTTATGAGGAGCAAAAAGCCTACGAGGAGCGTCAAGCCTACGAGGAGCAGCAAGCGTATCAGGAGCAGCAGATGCAGCAGATCTACCAGAGCCACCACTCGATGCCTAACCAGCCCACGCAGCAGAAGGCCCACTCCCCTCTGCCCCTCCAGCAGCTCCACCAGTCCCTCCCCCCGCTGCCGTCTCCAGACTCCGCCCACCACCACGCCAACCACCCTCTGTATCTGATGCGCCAAGCACAGCAGCAGCAACAGCAGCAGCAACAAGCCCACCAGAGCCACCACCACCGACGGCTGTCTCGCTCAGCTCCTCCCCCACACCAGCCGTCACCACAACCCACCGTCCACGCCAGCCCACAGGCTCAATACGCCGAGGGAATCTACCAGAGCCATCAGGGCATCAGGGCCCAGCCCCACCACTCCTCAGCAGAGATGCTCCACCAGATGCACCAAGCCCCGGCCCATCATTCTTCCACTGAGATGCTCCACCAGCTGCAGCAAGTCCAGGCCCACCACGCGTCTGCCGAGATGCTCCAGCAGATGCAGCACGCCCACTACTCGTCCTCAGAAATGCTCCACCAAATGCACAAATCCAAGGCCCATCATTCTTCCACAGAGCTCCTGCACCAAGCTCACCAAATGCAGCAAATGCAGCCTCACCACTCCTCCACCGAACTCCTCCACCAGGCTCACCAGATGCACCGCGGACAGCCCCACCACTCCTCCACCGAGCTGCTCCATCAAATACACAAGCCCCAGGCCCACCACTCCTCCACGGAGCTTCTCCACCAAGCCCACCAGGTGCACCAACCCAAGCCCCACCACTCCTCCACGGAGCTGCTGCATCAAGCCCAGCAGGAGCCGGCCTCCCTCCCGGTGCAGCTTAGCCGGGACAGCCACTCCCACCAGAGCCGGAGGAGCCTCAAAGGTCACCATCAGGCCGAAGTGTCCCTGCAGGGGAGGCATCAGGAGCAGCAGATCCACCAAACCCACCACCCCCAGCCCACCAAGCCCTCTCCCCAGAGACCCCACTCCATCCAGCAGACCCACCACCACTCCAGCACTCCTCAGATCCACCACATCCACCACATCACCCCGCAGCCCCCTCCTCAGGACTACCAGCACCAGATCCACGTCATCCACCCGCCCCAGCAGCCCCACAGGCCCCAGCCGCTCCTCTCCACCTTTCAGCCCCTCCAGCCTCACCAGCCCACCCTCTCCACCTTCCAGCCCCTGCCCCAGCACCACCAGTCGCAGCACCAGGTCCAGTCCACCCAGACCGCCCGTCCGCAGTCGCAGCCGTCGCATCACCTGCTGCAGTCGCCGCACCAGCCGCAATCCCAGTCCCACCACAAGCAGTCCCACAGCCCGAGCCAGCCCCAGTCCCTGCCCCACTCTCTGTCCGACCCCACCGAGCACCTGGAGCCCCCTCCACCTCCGCCGCTGCCCCCGCCCTGCTCCCCTCCACCGCTGCCCAGACCCAGCCTGTCCCGGATGGACTCCAACCACATGAGTGTGAAGAGGCTGCGCTGGGAGCAGGTGGAGAACTCAGAGGGGACGATATGGGGACAGGTGAGCGCAACACGCTTAAAATTTATCATTTAAATAAGAGAATTGAAAATATAGAATTAAGATATGAAATGACTGCATTTTTGCATGTCTTTGCCAGCTGGGAGCGAACTCAGACTATGACAAGCTGCATGACATGGTGAAGTATCTGGACCTGGAGCTGCACTTTGGGACCCAGAAGGGCTCCAGTGAGTACAGTTGGCTCTGTGGTCGCCCCTGTTTATGCAGCACACCACAGATAATTTGATCTGTGATGAATATGGCAGAATGCATTTGCAGTATAATTTCTTAACATATCGTTATCCGGTGTGATTATTTAATCAGCGAGTCTGTTTCAGCCGCTAATGCAGTGAACTTTTCACAGTTTGGATTTAATTGTAAGTTCTCTGCTTGATTTACTGTCGTCGTTCTCCTTTAAGAAATCAACGTAAAATATGCAGCATTTATACTAAATGTGTGTCTTTCTGTGCTTGTCCACCTTCTAACATAAATCGACAGGAAATGTGCACATTTATTGACATTGGCCCTGTTTGCAGTGCCTGCTCCAGAGTTAACCCACCACCTCGAAACCTTCAAGAAGAAGGATGTTATTGAAATACTGTCCCATAAGAAGGCTTACAACGCCTGTAAGTAAGACTGCTTGTTATTCTGTTATGTGTTGCTGCGTACAGTATATCTTCATTAACTGCTTTTAAAATAATAAGAGGAACGTGGTTCTGGTCATGTGGCAGCCTTGATTTATAGGCTCCTCTGTGATTCAGAATGAAGCATGTTGCTACCTTATGCTCCAACCTGCAGCCATCCTGATCGCCCATCTGAAGCTGTCTCCGGGGGAGCTGAGGCAGCTGCTGATGAACATGACCACGGACCGGCTGGAGCCAGCTCACATCAAACAGCTGCTGCTGTACGCCCCCGATGCAGAGGAGGTCAAGAAATATGAAGAGTACCGGCAGGACCCCAGCAAGCTCAGCGAGCCAGACCAGTTTGTGCTGCAGGTACGGTCCTGGGGGCACGGGGACGTATGGTGGGTCAGTTTTGTGTTGGTTTGGGCATGTAGGTTAGGGCATCACATGTTGCCTTAAGGATCATCATCTCAAATCATTTCTGCTCCACCATCTCTGATTTTCCTGAAATTTTTAATGCACAAAATATGGATATGTATATGAATATTTTTGGAGTTTTTGATTGATGAACCAAGTACTTCATGAGATAAATATTCTTTACAAAATGCCCATGGACCCACCTTCAGCTTGCTTTTTGCACAATGATATAAGATGCTGGGTTTCAATGACAATATCCCAGAAACTATTGATGATAAAAGCCTGAAATCTTTACTGTTGTGTTTCATCGTGACAGTAATTCAGAATATGTAAAATAGTAGATCGAACAGTTTATGGGTGAGTAGAAACATGAAGAAAAAGCTGAAGCCGTCATGAAAAGTCTCATTTTGAGCTGATAATAATTCAGCTGGTGATATTTTCTGAACCATATGTGGCTGCATGTGACAGCAATGCAAACCAGAACTCACTGAACACTTTAAAATGTGACAGAACTGATCATGAAAGTTGTTCAAAAGTTATTTTTGTTTAACTTTCGTAACTAATTGAGCAGAAATGACAAGCTGCAGCACAAAAACAAGAGAATGGTTCTCCAAATATAACTAAATTATTATTATTCATTTTAAATATGGGTATGTTTCTGGATTCTCACACCCCACTTTGTAGGCATACACCTTGGTTTGGAGACTTATCATTTGATAAAACATGCTGAAAGGGGCTCAAAAGGCAATTAAAAACAATATATATGTAAAACAGTGCTTCATATATCCAGTGTCTCAGGGTTAAATGCATTATTTCTAAAGATAAAAATACTTTAACATGAAATTCAAACCATACATAAATTTACATGTAAAAACTAAAAGAAAAATACATTTGATATGATTTGAACAGTAGATTCTTTAGATTAGCTTTAAATGTAGGTCAAGGAGAAGGACTCTGATGATTTTAGATTAAATAACCATAAATGACAATCATGGTCTAAAGAATTCACAACACAGATTATCACAATGTCTGAATATTTTTAGTATGAAAGAGTGGTGTTGGTCCAATTCATCTTTAACTTTGATTATTGTGCTTTGTTTTGTTTTGATTAAATCGATTGGGCTTTAAATCTGCGTAGAAAGAGTGTGTAGCCATACCTGGAGTGTTTATGTTGTTGCTCAGTGTTAAGCACATGATCACTGGTTCTGGACGGTTTATATCATCACGTTTACTGTGGACATGATGTCAAGAGTTTGTTTTTTAGGATCATACTGATCTTGATCGTCATCACTGTCATAACACCCGTACATGTATGTAAGTCATGATCTGGGGCCTGTGCTATCGTTTATCTTCTGCTTTTGTCTTGTTTGTGTCTTACGTACATGTCTCAGATGTTGTCGGTACCGGAGTACCAGACCCGTCTGCAGAGCCTCCTCTTCAAATGCTCGCTGCAGGAGAAGACGGAGGAGCTGAGGGGGGCGTTCGACTGCATTTACAAGGCCTCCATGGAGCTGAAGACCAGCAAGAAGCTGGCCAAGATCCTGGAGGTAACCTGCTCTTCAGAGAAGTCATTAAAAGTAAAAAAAAATTGAAGTCTTTATAGTTTTAAAATCTATTAATTTTAAGGATGAGAAGTTTCTGGGAGGTCCTATTCAGAGCAAAAACACTTTTTTTCTTTTCTTTTTTTCTTTCTTTTTTTAACTTTGAATGCAAAAAATAAAAAATAAAACCAGAACAAAAATGTAATCCATGCCTACAAATAAGAATTCTATTCCCATTTGAAGATAAGTTCCTGTTGAGATACTGACAGGTTGCGGTTCTGCTCGTTGTCTTTCTGGAGTTTGTGCTGGCGATGGGGAACTACCTGAACAACAGCCAGCCCAAGACCAACAAGACTACAGGCTTCAAGATCAACTTCCTCACAGAAGTATGAAGATATCTGACATTTTTGTGTGTTGAAAGGCAGTTTTTGTTTTCTTTTTTTAATGCTTATCTGTTTTAAAAAAACTCATTTGTGTCCCGTGCAGCTGAGCACAACTAAAACAGTGGATGGGAAATCCACCTTTCTGCACATTCTGGTCAAGTCGTTGTGTCAGCACTTTCCCGATGTGTTGGACTTCTCTAAAGATCTCACGATGGTTCCTCTTGCTTCAAAAGGTTGGTAGATACTTTTGACATTCGCAGCAGGTCTTAAATATCTTTTAAAATGCACTTTTTCAAGTTCTAGTTGCTGTTTTCATGTTTGTCACAGTTGTTCCTGATTGACCTGTTTTTAGTAAATCAGAGGAACATCACATCCGATCTGAACGACCTTCACGCGACCATCCAGGACATTCGCTCGGCCTGTCAGAAGATGCCTGCGACTGCCGAGGACCGCTTTGCTGTCGTCATGAGTGTATCCTTCAAAACCAAAGAGAGGCACAGAGAAATAAGATCTTGCAGATGAGTCGAAACGTCTTTGTCCCTTGACTTCAAGGTTTGCAGAACTTCCTGGAAAACAGTCACCCAGCAATGCAGTCTTTGGAGTCTCTGCAACAGAGAGCCATGGAAGAATTCAGCAAAACGGCCTCTTACTTTGGAGAAGACGGCAAAAGCACCAACACCGAGGCCTTCTTTGGGATCTTTTCAGAGTTCATCGGCAAGTTTGAGGTAAGCAAGAAAGATTCAAATGCATAAAACGTTTTGTTTCTCTCCACTGCTCGAAATGCAAAACCTGAACGGTTGCAGATAAACAGCCGCACTGTGTTACAGTCTGATGCCTCATTACTTCTTCATTCTCTGCTCTGCCACTGTTTTGTTCTCAAATGCAGCGTGTTTAGTAATGAGCAGCCTGCATGACATCAAAGACGCAGAGAGAGAGCGAACAGCCTGCAAGGTTACAGTATTAATAATGAGCTACATGATGCACACTAGCAGGATCAGTATGTTAACACTCAGCATTCAGCAGTGTGTTACAGCCTGTGCGTCTGGACAGTTTTATTTCTCCGAAAGCCAGATAAGAATAAAGAAAGCAGAATTTAGAAAAACACATTATTTTGATATCATAATACTAAGATTTATACAATGTAGATGCAGTTTCCACAGGGATATGTTTATTATTTTGCAGAAATAAATGGGCTAACATTCACAAAGCATTACTTTTTCCCCTGAAATCAGTTGTAATTATCATTAATTTATTAAAATAATGTATTAAGTCAAATGGAAGGAATATGGTGCATGTGTAAATTTGTCTGGAGTGTAAAAAACTGAGTGACTGCACAAGAAAGAGACCAATGAGGGAGGCCACCAAGACACCTATGACTCCTGTGAACAACTTACAAGATGGGAGAGACTGTTCATACAACTGGTGCCTGTTCTTCTCCAGTCAAAGCTTTATGGGAGACAAAGTGAAAGCCACAATTGAAAAAAACTCAAATTAAATCTGGACTAGAGTTCACCAGAAGGCATGTGGGAGACTTTGAAGGTCAACTGGAAGAAGGTTCTTTAGTCTGAAGAGAACAAAAATTAAAATTGATGTCAGATTAGACACTATGTTTGTTGGACATCATCACAAACAAACCATCCCCACTGTGAAGCACGGTGGTGGCAGCATCATGAC